TTCAACTACGGGATTTTGGTAGCTTGTGCTAGGTTGAATTTCGTTAGATTTTGTTTCAAGTAATGTAGGGGTTAGTGTTGGATTGTCAAGTAGATGCTGTGGATCTGAGTACGCCGGAGATGGCATGTTCAAAGGTGTGAAGTCTACATGTTCATTGTTAAATGGACTAAAGTTCAAAGGACCGAGGTCTATAAGTTCGTTACCAGGATTTTCGGTAGTTATAGGATTTACAGGATTTATAGTATTGATTGGACTTTCGTTACGGATAGGGTAGCGTGAGAGTGCGTCGGCTGCAGAATTAGGTTTTCCTTTTCGGTATATGATTTCCTACTCATATTCCTCGAGTTGTAAGCGCCAACGTTGCATCTTACTGCTGGGGTCAGTATGATTAAATAACCATTTTAAAGGACGATGGTCGGTAACAATAAAGAATTTTCTACCGAATAAGTACGGCCTGAATGTTTTACAGCCGTATACAATTGCTAAAAGTTCTTTTTCTGTAGTGCTATAGTTAACTTCATTTTTGTTAAGTGTTCGTGACGCGTAGGCTATAGGATGCTCTTTACCTACAGGACCTTGGGAGAGGATAGCGGATATTGCGTAGTTTGACGCATCGCAGGTGAGCGTAAACGATTTTGTGAAGTCGGGGTAGATTAAGACCGGTGCAGTTATTAATTTATCTTTAAGGTTTTCGAAGGCGAATTGTTGTTCGTTGGACCAGATAAATGGGCTTTCCTTTTTCAAGAGGCATGTAAGAGGTTTAGAAATTTTAGAAAATTCAGGGATGAAACGCCTGTAGTATGATATAAGGCCTAAAAAGGATTTTATATCTTTAGGGCATTTTGGTACAGGGAATTCTTGAACGGATTTAATTTTATTTGGGTCAGGTTTCACACCATTTTCGGTAATTACGTGACCTAGGTAACCAACTTCCTTCCTCAAAAATTCACACTTGTCGGGCTGCAACTTTAAGTGGAAAATACGGAGTTTATGGAAGACAGCGGAAAGGTTTTGGATGTGGGATTTAGGTCATATGAATAAATAACGATATCGTCAAGATAGACGAAACATCGTTCTCCTTGCAGGCCGGTGAGGACGTTATTCATAAGCCGCTGAAAAGTAGATGGCGCGTTTTTCAGGCCGAAAGGCATCCTTTTAAATTCAAAATGTCCTTGGGGAACACTGAAAGCAGTTTTGCATGAATCTTGAGAGGCCATTTTAATTTGATGGAAACCGGAAGCCAGATCGAGGGTTGAAAAGTACTTTGATTTGCCTAATTGGTCTAATATTTCGGTTATGTTCGGGATAGGATATGTTTCGCCAATAGTAATATCGTTTAACTTTCGGTAATCGATGACTATCCGCCATTTCTTTTGTCCCGATGCATCGATTTTCTTTGGTACAATCCATATGGGAGAGGACCAGGGAGAGATAGAGGGTTGGATGATGTCTTGATCGAGCATTTTTTGAATTTGGTTTTGGACTTCTTGTTTATGAATTTCAGGAAATCGGTAGGATTTTACATTTATAGGTTGGTCAGAGGTTGTTCGGATTTCGTGTTGGAGAGCATCAGTAAAGGTAAGTTGATCATCAGGTAGGTGAAAAATGTCGGAAAATGCACTACATATATTGTACAGGGCTTCAGATTCTTCATGATTCAAATGAGACGTGCGGAGTAAGTTAAGCACTTCTTGAGTTCGTTTTAGGCATGTTTGATTGGATTGAGGCACATGGAGTACGTCGTAATGTAATGGATATAAGGTAAGATTAAGATTTGAATTTAACGAGACATTGTTTTCAGAGATGTTGAAAACAGTGATGTTGACTCTATTATTATTCTTTACATTTACTAAACAATTAGCAACCAATAGGTTTTCGTTTATGTGTTGGTCCAAAATAAGCCCATTTTTTAGTTCTGGGTTTTTAATTGAACACTCTACAATCATTTCGGAGCGAGGAGGTATATTATAAACAGGTTCTGTAAAGTAAAGTTTAAGTTTATTTCGGTTTAAATTGAATACATTGCGATTATAATCAATATTACACTGATAATGGGTAAGTAAATTATTTCCAATAATGCCATCATAGGTGAGATTGATCTCTTCAACGACATGAAATGTAAAGGCGACGGTCTCTTTGCCGAAAAGAAGATCGAGTTCGAAATTACCTAAGGTAGGAACGGCATCTTTACTGTTATCTATTCCTTTTAATTTAATTGTATCCTTTTTTAGTTTCAGGTTCAGGTGCGACTGAATGGATGATTGTTTAATAAGGCAGATTGAGGATCCAGTGTCTACAAGAAAGGTAAGTGGATTTTCAGATACACTAGTTTTTATTATTACATGAGGTAATGATTTTTTATTTGGATTACACGTAATCTCGTAAATTACATCATCTTTTGGAATAGGGTGTAGATTTAAGTTTTCATTATTTTCGGGATGTATTCGGCGATGCTCTGACATATGTGTACTTTTATGAATTGTTTCGGAAATAGGAATAAGATTACGAACACTTGCTTGGGGCTGGTTACCCGTGTGGTTCTGTGGATTCGAGACATGAACGTTTGCTTGGGGCTGGTTATCCTTGTGGTCCTGGGATATTGAAGAATGGACACTTGCTTGGGGCTGGTTACCCTTGTGGTCCTGGGATATTGAAGAATGGACACTTGCTTGGGGCTGGTTACCCTTGTGGTCCTGGGATATTGAAGAATGGACACTTGCTTGGGGCTGGTTACCCTTGTGGTCCTGGGATATTGAAGAATGGACACTTGCTTGGGGCTGGTTACCCTTGTGGTCCTGGGATATTGAAGAATGGACACTTGCTTGGGGCTGGTTACCCTTGTGGTCCTGGGATATTGAAGAATGGACACTTGCTTGGGGCTGGTTACCCTTGTGGTCCTGGGATATATGATGAAATGGTTTCGTGTATAGTTGGCTTTGTACATGGTTTGGTATGGTGTCATTGTGTTCAATTTGTTTGATAGAGAGTAGAGACTTGGGTCTCACGAGACACCACCGTGAGCCCACTAATCGTTCAAATTTCCGCTACCTAGATTTTGCTGATCTGCGTCGCTATTTTCGGTATCAATGTTGTATTGATTTTCGTCATAAGAAGTACTAGGTTGTGGTTGAGAGTAATCACGATCATAATTAGTTTCCACGAAGTTTACGCGTGCTGGCTGTGTTCGCGGATATCTTTGATGATTATTATCTCGACTGTAATTAAAACGATTAGGTTGAGACTGAGTTGCATAAACCGATTATTGTTATATTCGCGTTTTCTACACACTTCTATGGTGTGTCCTTGATTTTTGCAATAGCGACAAAATGCATTGTTTTGCATATGTATTTGGGGTTTAACATTGACATTGTGTATCGCCGGTCTGAATAAGTGATTAGATCGTTGCATATGACGCGGTGACATTGGAGTATGACTGGGTAAGTTACGTTTATACAACATTTGTTGTATCTTTTCTTCGGATACTGCTAAATTTAAGGCTTCATTCAGTTGATTAGGATTCTTACCACGGACTAAGTTGGAAATGTTCGGTTTAAGACCAAGTAAAAACGTATGGAGAGCGAGGTCCTCCATTGAAGCTATACGACCTTGTAGTTCAGACTTCTTCTTGTTCGACAATGTAATTTCTGTAAGTAACTTTGACAGGCAAGTTTCCAAACGCAACGCATATGTTGTAACTGATTCATTAGGTAATTGACGGCACTCTTGTAAATCGGTTAGTAAATGTGTATAGTGTTTCTTTTCGCCAAACTGTGTAAGAAGGAAGTCGCTAAGTTGCGCCCACGAATCGTATTCTTTAATTGAAACAGCAGCGCTAGCTCTTCCTCGTAATTGAGAAAGAATGTATTTAAAAACAGTCGATTTCTGTGAATCCGTTGCTAAAGACATGGCATTATCGCAGTTTGTTATAAATGAATTTAATTCTTCGCGAGAGCCATCAAAAGTATTTATGAATTGAAATAGTTCTCCGGCTCGCATTGATTCCCCTTTTTCGGCTTTAATAGTAGAATCTTTATTTGCCATTTTTAATTATGTTATTATATAAAATACGAAATTTAATTAATATTGGAATGTTACGGTGTAATAGGCGGCCAACCGAGTAACTTAATATGAGCTACTGATAAGCGCAGGTGCAGTGGCGAAGACGCTCTTCCTATGAATTATGCGTTAAGTATAATGTTATAATTCGAGAATGGTAATTGAAATGGTAATATGCTTAAGGAATTATATACTTATTATTACATTAAGTACATGAAAAGTTTTTAATTATTGTTCATAGAAGTATTATAATTATTTTGAACACAACACTTTGATAACGAGGCACGGCTTTGTAGTATCACTGAAATTCGGAGAAGTTTTTAGCACTTACAGGATCGCGACGAAGTAGAGATGCAGGAACATATTCTTGATAAGATTAGCGCTCTTTATTCGGTCACGCTATGCAGCACGAAGACTTGTAGGCGCTCCGGAACAGGCTGGATTTGTATATTTCACAGGAACAGGATTTTGAGGATGAGATGATTTATATTTTGCGAAGATTATTTATCTCACCCGAGTTCGACACTAATTTAGGTACAGACGTTTACTAACACTTGCACTTCACTTGTCTTATTTTCCACTGATCGCGTATTGGAGACGGACCGAGGACCAGTAGTATGATCCCTTAAGCTGCCTGTATTGTACTTTAAGATTTATTGGACATAAAACCATTAATATTGTAAAAATTATTCTCGATTAACCAATTTTAAAATTTTATTTTAAATAACCTAGAATTTAACATTTTAAGTTCCTGAATTATGTTGTTATATATCTGCACACACATAAAGAGACATCTATTATATTTTCTCAATTTAGGATTATCACTTAGTACAAGTCTGTATGGGTTCCGCCGATAGTTTTTATCCAAACGCGCCAAAAATATTTTTTGTGGTTCACGACGAAAAATTTTGTTTACGCTGATATAGATAATGATATGTATGCAGGGTTGGTTATCAAATCGGCGGGAATTTCTACAAGCTGTACGAGGCTTGTTTCGACCGAGGGCTACTGACCACAGTCTACGTACATCATACCGTGACGCCTTTAAGCCACTTCATGCAAAACGGCAGCAGACCGAATTTTATTGGTAAGATTTTTATAATTTTTTTTTTGACACTTACACAACGTTTTTTAGTCTCAACCTAGGCAACGCTTGTACTATGGCTAATAGATAACTGACAAACAAACTTAAAAATACTTTTCTTTTAAAGTTTTTTTATAGTGCTAATCTCTGCACCTAAGATTGAACATTAAAACATGTAGAAAAAGTACGAAAAGACTGTCGCCGCTGTGGGAATCGAACCCACGTCTTCGGCATTCGCGGCCTGACGCTCTAGCCACTGAGCTAAACGGCTGATAGCCACAGCGACGAAAATCTTAACGCCTTCTTTCTACATTGTTATTTAGCATTTGAAGCATATAAAAAAAGCCTATAAAAAAACTTTAAAATTTATAAAAAGCAATGGCGACATCTCTCGTTCGAATTATCGTTGTAAAACGATATTCGAAATTGTTTGTATGCTGGAAAGGATATAACAATAGATTCGCCAAGCATTGCTTCAATGGCCTCGATATATGGAAGAAAAAATATCGTTTTAACGATATTCGTTTTAGGCCCTGTTGTCCAAAAAAAAAAAGGCGTCGGGGGTCGTGGGTTCAATTCCCACGGGACAACTATTCGTGTGATCCATAGATATTCGTTTCGCATCTGGATGTCTGTGTGAAATTTATGTTTGTAAAATGTGCTTACAACACAGGATAATGTTATCCCAAAGTAAGGGCTATTTTAAAATTAATAATAAAAAGTCTCGTTAATTTCGCAGAGGGCGACCTGTTCGGCAAAATCAAAATGACGAAGGTCTACGCGGTCGAGAATCAGAGGGCGCGTCTTAAAGCGACCCTCGGAGCAGGCGCCGACCAAACGTACATAACGAAGAAACAAGTGTGTTGATGAATTTTACAATTATCTATGTCTCGGTTTTTTATGTGGCCTAGTGCCAAACGCACTTAAAACCAGGTGAACCATCACCTGGTTTTAAGTCATAACCGCCGCCCATGGACATTTACAATGTAGTGTTACAAATGCGTTGCCACCTTTTAATAAAGTGGGCCCCGACTACCTCGCTCACCAGACGAAACGCAGAAGTGTAACACTTCCACTTGAAGCCGACCTTCTGCGAGGTTGCGGTACTTACCCGGACGGAGCTGCCCATTCGTGCAACAGCGTACACTGTTGCTTGGCCCACACTCGGTGTCTGTTCTCGTTGGCACAGTTACTAAGCCATTGGCTCCTTGATTTGACTATTGGTAGAACCATTGCGCAGCTTCTGTTGTTGCAATAAAGAGTTGGTTCCCCGGAAATACCAGATCTAACAGAAGAGCGGAGAAGAAGTGATATTTTTGCACTTTACTCGGTGGGTAAAGTAAACGGGGTCCAGGTAGAATTTTTTTTTTTTAATTTATTAGGCCGCCCATAGACATAAGCAACACCTTTGAGGTTGAGAACTGTTAACAGAATCGGCCCCAGTTATTGCACACTGACGAAACGCAACAATATTATATTCCCACTTCACATACGTGTTCTGTGTTTCCGTGCTATACGAACTAGCTTTATATTTCATACAAATTGTAAGTAAATTGAAATTAAATTAGGAATTAAGCCAAGAGGATAATCCTAAAGGTTTAATTTTTCCAGTTTTTGAATCGTGGCCATTTGGCCGCACGGGCCGACTTCATAATGCGCGCGGCGCAAAAGGCCTCCTTCCACTACATAAACGCGGCGCCGCAGTGGATGCGCGGGAACGCAGGCGATTGGGCCGCGCTCGAAGAGGTTAGCTTTTGTAAGATAAACGATCGAACACACAAAATTGGACAAATTGTAGCCTTCGGGGATAAATTTACTTATTTTCGCAGCGTTAGCTGCGCACTCCATAACGCATAGTACTCCATAACAATGATGTTTAATAATAAATATAAATGTCGCAGGTCCATACTTCGCGGCGTTTAAAAATTGTACCGCTTTAATCATAATGTCATCAAGCAAATGTGACAGATGATATAGAACGTATGATATCGAAAGAGATGGCTGTCTATAGAATTGCAATTTAATTACAGCAATTGGTGTAATTAGAGTGCCTCAGTTTTGGTGCGTTATTGTCAAATATACCTTGCATTTGTATATTATATCATCGGGTGCATGGCGCGCATCAATAAAAGGAGTACACATCAAGTTTAGAAAGTACGTGCCGTACTAGAAACTAATTTTAAACGTTACCTCATTTATACCAACAATTATTTTTTTATTTAAACTTTTACACAAAAAATAAACATTCTGTATAGGCGGACTTTATGCCTAAGGGGCATTCTTTCCCAGTCAACCTATCAATTACTATGCGAAGAAAATCTATGTATATAAAACAAGAACATTACATCATTACAAAGATTACTCAGCCGTTGCATAACTGTCTGAAGTAGTTTTTTTTTTTTAATTCTCAATTTGTCGATCGATGAGATGAATAGGATGTGGCTTCGAGGATTTCGTCTCAAGTACCTGTCACTTCAAACTTCAAACGTTCGCTGCATTCAGCCTTTATGTCTGCCAGGCTGTTCGCCGCCGGATCTCTAAATACGGCAGGGCTGTGAGCGTCTACACGGGCACCCACGGGGTCAGCTGGCTGACGGACTCGCTAGGGCTGCCCAAGGGGTTGTTCCTGCTCACGGACGAGAACAACAACGCCGTGGTGCCGGTACCGCTGTATTTCTACAAGGTAAGGAAACTTGAAAACGAATTTTTAGTTCAATTCTTTACGTGTCAATGACAAATCATATCTTTTCTCAATCATTTCTTTGAACTGCACAATTTGTAAAAAGAGAAAAGAAGTAAAGTAACAGCCTATAAATGTCCCACAGCTGGGCAAAGACCTCCTCTGTAAAGAGGTAGAGGTCATGCGACCCCACTGCGGGTTGGCGGACTTCACATATTTTCGAAATATTTTTTTTTCTATTATTTCGAAAATATGCAGGTTTCCTTACGATGTTTTCCGTCACCGCTGGGCACATGATAAGTCAGCATATAAATTTAAGAATTTCATTGGTCTCGGCACCGGGATTTGAACTCCGGTGGTTTGAGTATATTGAATTAAAAGCAAGCGCCGGACACTTACGCCCGGTTTCTGAAATACTGATCGTCGTAGAAGTTAACTAATCAGCTGTGAAATGGCTTCTTAAATAACATTTGGATTGCCAAAAGGGTGGTTAAACTCTTGGAATTAATCATTCTGATCAACCAACTATAACATTTGAAAAGCCATTTGAGTTTGACAGCTGATTCAGAAACCGAGCGTTAGTGATCTCGGCTATTTTATCCTTGGATACTGGGCAATTCGCCACAGGTTAACTGTGGTAGAGCTGTTGCGTAGCCCTATGCGTAGTACGCTGTTGCACGAATTGCAGGTTCGTCCGGGGAAGTACCACGACCTCACAGAAGACCGGCGTCAAGTGGAAGTGTTATAGTGTTTCGTATGGTGAGTGAGTTGACCGAGACCCGCTTTATTAAAGGTTGTTAACGCATGTGCAAGAATTCATGGGCGGGGTATTGTGTAAGTCGTATGATATAAGTCGAACCGCCTACAACTTTTCACATAAAAAAAAAAGATTCTAGGATCATATGACGACCCGTATGGCGTAGTGGGTAGTGCCTCCTCCGCCAGAGGGTGTGGGCTACTAGCGAAAAAATATTGTGTCATAAACATAGTGTTTAACTGGTGTCTTTATATATATATATATATATATATTTCGGAGAATGAAGTAGATTTATTTCTTGTACGATATCATGGCTGTCGATTATGTCGTTATTAAGTAGTAAGAATCAGTGCGCACAACCGGCGCGGTCGATCGCCAGACGTTAGTGATCATATATTAGATTTTAGAGGAACTAACGCCCTGTGGATATATTCGAAAACAAAGTAACTCCGTGAATCAGTGACGTCGTTAAGTCACTTCGGGGACGCGAGCGATCACGGACCCTTCGAACTTCGGAGCGAAAACTAGTGATCAAGACGATACCAGACCTCGGGATGCTTATGAATAAAGTCTTCAAAAGAGTCGTTTTTCTCTCCAAATCCTTCGACAACACGTAACAATATATTACAAAGTACTCGGCGCGGACCGAACTACAGTACGCCATCGACAGGCGCTAGTAGTCGAAGAGTACTAAGAGGCTACCATAGATGGAACCACTTGTATGAAATAACATCATTTCGGAACTTCTCTCACATATATATAACTAGCGACCCGCCCCGGTTTCTTACGGGTGTAATGTATTATTACATTTAACCTTCCTCCCGAATCACTCTATCTAGTAAAAAATCCGTATCAAGATCCGTTTCGTAGTTTTAAAGATCTAAGGATACATGTGTATTTACAAAAGAAATGTAAGTTTATGTATGTTTATCAGTAATTAGCTAGAACCCATAGTATTGATTAGTTTGGGATTGGAGAACGTAATGTAAAAACGTGTCCTAAAATATTTATATATTATTTATGTATAATATTCTTCCAGCTTGTCTACGACCCCGAAGAGCTGAAGGCGGTCGCCTTCGTCTCGATCAACTCGTCCTACTACAACAGGAGTACGGTGGAGGGGTTGACCTTCTGTCGGGACGTATGCGCCGGCAGCCGCGACTACTCCTGGCTGAGGTGGCGCCCAGGAGATGGGACTCACAGCTTCTGCTGCGACTACCGGGATTTCGTACGCGTCGTGACGCACCTGCCCAAGTTGAAGGTGGAGGGCCTCTTCTATTAGGGCTTCCGTGAGGCGCTATTAATTACGCGAGAGGGGCGAGGGGGTTTGGCGACGACCCGAATGGCGTAGTGAGTAGTGTACCTGCCTCCTGCGCCAGAGGGTGTGGGTTCGATCCCCACTGCTGGAAATATATTGTGTGATGAACATGGTGTTTTTCCAGTATCTGGGTGTTTCTATATATATAATATGTATTTATTTACAAAAGAAAAGTATGTTTGAGTATGTTTATCAGTTTTCTAGTACCCATAGTACAAGCTTTGCTTAGTTTGGGACTAGAACATGTTGTGTACAAATGTGTCCTAAATGTATTAAATGTATTAAAACTGCTGAACATAGGCCTCCCCCATAGACTGACACGAAGTACGGCCCTGAGCCATCTGCATCCATCGACGAAAAGACGAGAAGCAGGCAGTGTGTAGTGTGACCTTGACTCGCCGTTTAATTTTTATCATGGTGCCTCAATTTCGAAATAAAATCAGATTATACTCTAAACCTGTATTTAAGGATAATATTCTAAAAATTTTAGGATTCTTTGTAGTGTGATTTTGGGTGGGGGGTAGTCCTAAACCTCACCACGTAACTAAGGGGGAGGAGGGGGTTAAAATGCTATATAAAAAAACATCACGTGATTGATAGAGGGCCCCTAGCCTTGTGAACTGTTATATTAGTCGTTTTGATTTCGCCGCGGTGTACCTTGTGCACGTGGTGTCGGTTCCGCCTTAGGCGAGAACGAACTCATTGGCTGTATAGATATGTGTGGGTATAGATAGAGCAATGATATTACATATTGTTGTGCTGTTATCAATTTATTTTTAGGGCTCTGACCCAAAAGGTAAAACGGGACACTTTTACTATACTCCGCTGTCCGTTTGTCTTTCAATTATTCAACTAAAGGCCCATTTACACGATGCCATTTTCTTGTACATGCAAGAGCAATAATTGAATGCAATTAATTGCGCGCAATAATTGGTTAGACCATTTGTTGTTTAGACCATGCAACTTATTTATTGCTTCAATTTAATTGTATACAACAGGCAAGAAACTGGCACCGTGTAAATGGGCCTTAACTATCACGGTTCATGAGATAATTGTGTATCTCATGAACCGTGATAGTTGGACAGTTGATGTATTTCTGATGCCGCTATGCAATGAAAAAACAGAATAAAAATATTTATGTGGGGCTCCGATACAACTCACCAGACATGATTTTTTTGCTGTTTCTATGGATGATGGTACGGTACCGTTCGTGCCTGAGTACCACTCGCACTTGGCCGGTTTTTAGTACAGTGGTCCGTCACTTACGGACCAAAGCAAGTACGGCCGTAGCCTGAGTTTAGTCTCGGGGCGGTTCAAGAAAATGAGGACTGTGGGACAAAAATGTGCATTGAATAAGAATGATTAACGTTAAAAATTCCGTTCGGTATCTTAATTGTTTTTTTTATGTGAAAAGTTTTCAAACGAGCAGACGGTTCACTTGATGTTAAGTGAATACCGCCGCCCATGGACATCTGCTACACCCGAGGGTTACAGATGCGTTGACAACCTTTTGAATATCTGGCCCCGGCTACCTCACTCACCGGACGAAACGCGAAAGTATTTGTCATACTTCCACATTACGCTGGTCTTCTGTGAGGTCGTGGTACTTACCCGAACGGGCCTGCCCATTCGTGCAACAGCCGAGGCTGCTGCGTGGCCCTACCACCTCAGAATGTAATTTGAAAAATTGTTGTAATATTTGAGCGGGAATAATTGGTTGGTTCGTTTAATGTACAAAATAAAAATGCACTTTTATCAATTTATATTAAATTGACGGACCAAATGTGACTACTTTCTCCTGTCTAGTTGGGGTCGGCACATTATATAAATCAAGTTGCAAATGGTATTCATTAGGATTGACCCTGGGTATAAATAATACTAAATAAAAATAATATAAAAATAAATAATATAAAGAATATAAATAATACGAACTAATGGAAAATAATATTTCTTACTTTTTTTTCTTGTAAGATTGCCAAGAATGTGAAATTTGATGAGATAAAATTAATTTCATATACAATTGTTTCCAGTGAAAGCAAATAAAACATTTACATGTTAAAACATGTTTTATTTGCGTTCACATATTGTTTTCAATAATTTAGTGTATTTGATATATTCCAGTCATATAATGTCATTAATAAATGGAATGGACCAATCGACATATAGATATGTCTATATTTTTAGATTAAGGTACGCTAAACAAGATGTTAAGTATAGTTTTTAGAAAGAGTGAACTCCCTTAACTATTTAGGAATTGTCTTAGACGAAAAAATGACCTTCAAACATCACCTTCAAACTCTCTCTAGCCGTGTGAGAAAACTTATATTCACAATGAAGAAGCTGAGAGACTGCTCCTCAATTGAAATTCTTCGCATAGTTTACCACGCTCTATGTCAATCTGTTTTACAGTATGCAATTTCAACATGGGGAGGAGCTAGCAAAAGTTTATTCCTGGAAGTTGAAAGAGCCCAACGTGCCGTAATAAAGGTCTTGTTAAAGAAACCTTTTCGATTATACTGAGACACTCTACAAGGAATTTCTCGTTCTTAGAGTTAGGCAGCTATTCATCCTTAAATCTCTCCTTCACGTGCATAAAAATCTCAAACGCATTTCCGACTATCAGTCTTTACTTACGAAAAGGGTATTTAGTATTCCCAAACCCCGCTTTTAGTCCCTATTCGCTAGAACGTTGTCCAGCTTATTTACATACGCTTGTTTACAATTCAGTTATAAAACAATGCGATATCAAAGATCTGTCCTATTCAGCATGTGAACGCGTTGCAAAGCACTGGTTGCTTTCGCTAAGTTATTATGATTCTGAAAGAGTACTGCTTGGTTAACGTACGTAACGATGCTCACACACACACACACACACCCGCGCACACGCACACACTCACTCACTCACACACGCACACAAGCTTTCTCTCTCTTACACACACACACATGCTCGCACATTCACTTTCACTAAACATCCCACTCTGAAAGGCCTGCGCAGTTATTAATATTTTTCATCTCCATCTCATTTTAAGCCACAATTACCAATATACTTTGTGGTTTTCGTTTCATTTATTCTTTATTTTTTTTTTCATCTTAGTCACTTTATTTTTGCTATTAGCGAAGAGTCTTCACGATGTAACTTAACACCTATCGCAAATCTGGCAGCTCTGGCTCCCAAGATACAAGCAATGCTTAGTTTGGGATCCATTGTTAATGTTTCGTAGCTTGAGGTTAGTTACAAAATTTTGTATTAATTTTCATATCTATCTTCTTATTTTTAAGACATGTATTGTAACTTACTTTTGCATCTACTTAGATAAATAAAAATTAAAAAAAATTAAATTAAGTTTTTGTAAATTAAGTGTTGATAATTGTATTGTGAATAAATTTTATTTACCAAAATTTTATGGAGTTTAATTCAAATTCATTGAAGCCTTGTGACATTGCGTACAAACATTCAAAAATAAAAATCTACAAATCTAAAAATCACGAATCTAATTGGGACAAATTTCCAAGTTTATTTTATATAAATGACAGAAACGATAAAAAGTAGTCCAATTATAAATTCAAAAGGCCAAGCGAAGATAATACGTTCTCTTAAATTCTAGACTAGTTTTATATATGAGAAAAAAATCCCACACATTAAATTAAAGAATGATTAAGTATACTTGTTAATATTTATTTCACTATTAAATTCGATTTATATACATATATTTCAATATAATATACTTAAACTAGTGTCTTTACATTTGAGATTTCATTTCTTTCCAGCCCTGCCTTTTCGTAATGTCTTCGTAAACTCATTTTTGTGCTATCAATTCGATTCTTTAATTAACAAATGAGATTACTCTGACAATAAGATTCATCACATTTCAGATCACAATAAGTTGTTAAAGTTTATTAATTATTATATTTTACACCAATGAACTTGTGACACAATTACCTTCGATTTATAAATGAAATTGAAAATTAAATAAAACAGACGCTCGTGAACAGACAAATTACTAAATGTCAATCCACTTGACAGCTGAAATGGCGGGAAAGTTAAATTACCGTATGTATCGTCGCGGCACATTTTAAGAAGAGTGAATTAAAAAAAAAACTCCTATTTATTTGCATACTATGATTGTGTACCCGATTTTAGTTCAAAATTGATTAACACGAATCATATTTAACTAATACAACAAATAATAAAAAGTCCTTTAGTCCCTAAAAAGATACTGAAGTTACAATCGACTTAACGCATTCACCACGACGATATTTTAATGTAAAAGCAAGCGGAAAAGCATTTCAATAACCATATTCGAAATCGATTGATGTTTGAACAAAAACGTCGACATATTCGGTTCATAAAACTATCCTGTATACGTGAGATAACATTTCACACTGCAGCGTGTTTGCGACTCTGTGCTATACTAAAAAGATCCAATCACGCTGAGGAACTTATTTGAGGTAAATAATACTAAGTTGTTTGTTTTAATTTACTAAGTAGGCGCGCCCAACTAACATTAAGTTGGGGGCTCCCTTCCTTCGATGATTGCAGTCAGGGCCTGTCTGTCCCGTTTGTTCTCGCAGGCGCATGTCACCAGCGCCAAGAGATGCTTATCCGAGTACTCAGTCCTCTCCGTTATGAACTCCTCGAGGCCGCTGCGGGGTAGGTAGTACGCCTTGACGTACCTATCCACGTAGTCCTGGTAGGGGACGGGCTTCAGACCCGATATCTTCTCCAGCTTAACGAACAGCTGCCTGTAGTCCAGCTGCATCAGCCCCCTGCCGCCGTTCGAGCACTTCGTCGCGTTCGAGAATCCCTCCACTAGCAGGTGGACCACGAACTTCGACACCATCGACCAGACGGAGTTGAGGACTTCCCGGTTCAGTGACACCTTCGCGGCCACGTTCTCCAATCTGAGCGCGAAGACTTGCACCCTCCTCACTATCATGTCAACGTAAGGGCTGTGCTCGACCGCCACGCTCTTCACGTCCCACTTCACCTGGGACATCGCCACCAGAGCGGATCTGGCGTCGACAGCCCTGGACGCCGAGCACATGTACACTGGTGCGCGGAGGTCTACCGCCGCCGCTAGGGTGTTCTCGCTGAAGTGCTCCAATATCATCCTCTGGTGCTGCGCCACGATCGTCTCCAGGTACGGCTGGAGCAGTTGGTACTGGCGGGCGAGGAATATTGCGCTCTCCACGGCGACTATCCTCTCGCCGAGTCCGTGGAGGTCCGCCTCCGACGTCAAGTCCAATTGGCGCGGCGGCTCCGGACGGAGGAATCTCCCGCCCTCCGCGCCGACGCTGTTCGAAATCCGCTTGAGGGCGGCGCTGAGCTTTGGTGTGTACAGCGTGGCGGACGCCACGTCCAGGTCGGCCGTGAAAAACTCGTGTACAGCGTGGAAGTAGTAGTCGAACAGCTGGTTCATGATCACGACCACCTCGAGCGAGATCTGCGGCAGGTAGCGGCCGATCTGCAGGTACTGGCCGCAGTTCCTCAGCACGGAGAGCGTCGTGCTGGTCACTATGACGCCGCCCCGCGCCCTGGCGGGGCTCTCCCCCTCGGCGTCCTCCACGTAGTCCGCTCTGAGCTCGTCGGGCTCTTCGTCCGAGTCGCTGCTCCCCGGTTCCGGTTCGATTCCGAATATGTCGTCGTTCGTCACGCCCTCGTCGCGGAACATCTCGAAGGGGCTGCTCGTCGACTTGGGGCTGAAGTGGCGCGCGATGTACACGCTGTCGTCCTGCGAGTGGGCCGAGGAGGTTGTGTCTGACTGGGCGGTGCTCTTCGCCCCCTGCTCGGCTTTGGCCGGGCCCAGGTATTTCTTGAACTGCCTGAACTCCTGCAGGTGCAGCAGATTGAACGACTGCCGCACGGGGCACTGCTCCCAGCCCTCGTTCTCCAGGAACAGCTTCAGCTCCTCCATGCGTCCCCTGTGGTAGTTCTCGATGTACGAGACGCTCTGCGTCCTGATGAAGTCCTGCAGCAGGTCGGAGGTGTCGCCGCAGAACACCTCCGCGACCTGGGTGAGCCTCCTCAGTATTCCCAGCACCTGTATGAACTTCTCGAACGGGTACTCCTCGAGGCCGGAGCTCTTTAAGAACGTTGAGATCTTCGCCTGCACGTCGTGCCAGATGCGTATCAATCCCGCTTTCAGCTTCTGCCGTATGTACTCCCTGCTAACGTTCCTCTCGATTTCGAGCACGTTGTTCGACCCTCGGACCCTCTCGTCGTCGTGCTTCGAGTGCCAGTCGACGAGCTGGTAGTAGCTCCTCATGACCTTGAACAGCTTCTCGCACAGATCGAGCAGGCAGCCGGGCGCCTTGTTGGCCGCCACGCCGAGGCACATCTCCTGGAACTTGGTCTCGATCGAGACCTCGCCCGCGTGCGGCCTGAGCGCCTCCATTGATGACTCGTTCACCGCCGAGGAGTAGTGCATGTGGAGCTGCTCCATCGCCGCCTGCGTCTTGCCCAGCAGGTCGTACGCCCTCTTCAGCTTGGCGAAAACGTCCGCGTCGAAGTGGTAGCAGACGCCCGACAGCACCGAGTCGAGCCGCTCCTCGGTCATGTCGAGGGTGTCCTGCAGGCGGGAGGAGAGGTCCGCTATGCATTTGTACTCCTTGTGGCGGGCGGCCGCCTTCCTGCTCCTCAGTATCAGGTCTATCGCTTCGTAGTACTCCCTCTTGGCGAGCAGCGCCGCCACGTCCGCCTCGACGCTGCGCAGTTTCCTCAGCAGCTCCAGGGACTTCAGCACCGACTTGATTATCTGCCGCTTCCTCACGCTCCTCAGGATCGCGAAGGTCGACATGGTGAGGTTGTTCGACGCGTGGCCGAGGTGCTGCCTCGCCTCGCGGCACTTGTCCACCGCCTTGGCGAGTTCGGCGCGTATGCGCTGTATCTCGGCGAACTCGCGGTCGCAGTTGTCGCGCTGCTGGGATATCAGGTGGAGCGCTTTGCCCGACACCACCTGCGGGATTGGAGGGAGCGTGGTGTTTTATGGCACGCGAGCAGTTCGTGGGGTTCACCTGACATCATTGAATATCGCCGCCCGTGGTCACCCACGGCCCCTGAGAGGGTTGAGGTGCGGTGCAAGCCTAAGAGTGGCGAGGGCTACTTGCCATGCTCACCAGACAAGACGCAGGTGGCGGATGAACCACCTATATATATATATATATGTATATATATACAGCATGTCGTTACCATCGCGACAATAAATGAACACACGTCTAACGCTACTTGCTAATAATCATAAAAAAATATTAACGTTAAACAAAATCCATAAATAAAAAAAAATATTTTTCACACAAACTAATTAAGTAAAAAAGAAACAAATTTGTAACATCCTATACAACTCGCGCCACAGCGTCGCATTACAAGCCTCTCCTTCTAACAGTATGTTTTGTCTCTTTTAAATTCATTCAACCCATTCATATGCTATGTGACCTTTACAAATGAACTTTACGTTACTGTTTTATACGTAAGGGTGTTCTAAAATTCTTTGTTTTGGAAAATTTAATAACTCTGTAAATATTGATGTTTAAAGAATTTAAATGTTTAATACAACTTTAAAAAGTTATCCCCTATATGTGTGTTCATTTATTGTCGCGATTGTAAAGACACGCTGTATATATATATATATATATATATATATATATACTAGCTGCTGTCCGCGACTAAGTCTGCGTAGAGGGATAAAAGTTTAGGGTTGCATGTATTTTTGTATGCTGTATCATAAAAAAATAGAAATTAAAAATTTTGTCTAAAAAATAAAAAATAAAATTTAGGGGTGGACTACCCCTAACATTTAGGGGGATGAAAAATAGATGTTGGCCGATTCTCATAGATACCGGATAAGCACAAAAAATTTCATCAAAATCGGTCAAGCCGTTTCGGAGGAGTATGGCAACGAAAACTGTGACACGAGAATTTTATATATATATATTTATTTATTTATTTTATTCATTTATTTGTGTATAGTAGTGTTGTGTACATATATCTATAATACCTATATTTACAATAGCGTATACCTCAAACTCTTCTCACTGATCATTTTATCCTCAGTAACATGGTTGCCTGGAAGAAATCGCTTCTAAGCGATAAGGCTGCCAATTGTACCTTTATGTAGTTGTTTGTTACTTTTGTAATTTTGTCAATAATAAAGCGTATTTTCATTTCATTTCATTTCACCTCCACATCTACATCCATAAATTCCACAAGTGCTGTGTACATTGTCATGGACACAGCACTTAGGAATTGATGACACATTGCCAAACTTAAAAAGAGTAAAGCAAAAGTAGCAGCCTATATATGTCCCACAGCTGGGAACAGGCCTCCTCTGTACAGAGGGTATTAGGGGGTTGGTACCGTTGCGATGGTCTCCTTCCCCCACCGTGCTCACCTGCTGCTGCCGCTTGAGCTTCACGAACATCTCCTCGACCGCTTGGCAGGTGGCCGGTGCCGGCGCGTGCTCCAACACGTAGCGAGCCGCGTCAAACTCCGAGGGCGGCGAGAAGTAGACGTTGTCGATCTCGCGAAGAACCTAAAGGGAATATACCCAAAACGTAGTACACTATGATCCGAAACAAGTAGGTTGTGAGCTGGCAAATATCATACGCTATTGCCCAAAGACCTATACAAGTGCATATTTCTATTAACGAGAAACAAACCCGACTTCAAATATCTCGCTCTGTATTCATTTTATAATTGATTTTCAGGACTTCATTGAGTATCTCTGGAGCCCGAGGTCCAATGAAATTAACATGGGACCACATGGGAAGTGCCAGCTTTCAAATAAAAAAAGAATCATCAAAATCATCAGTAACAAACATAAAAAAGAATACAGTCGAATTGAGAACCTCCTCCTTTTTTGAAGTCGGTTTAAAACAAATAAGATTAATGGCCTCGAAGAGACTGGGAGAATGAATGCCAGCAGTGTCTCCTCCGATCAACAGTTGCTGATTGTCTCTTCTACATTAAGTTTGTATACATTGTAATGCAGCCACTCTACACTGAGCCCTTAATTACATTGACGACCCGAATGGCGTAGTGGGTAGTGTACCTGCCTTCTGCGCTAGACGTTGTGGGTTCGATCCCCACTACTGGAAAAATATTGTGCGATGAACATACATAGTGTTTTTCTAGTGTCTGGGTGTTTATTTATCTGTAATATGTATATATTTACAAAAGAAAAGTATGTTTAAGTATGTTTATCAGTTATCTAGTACCCATAGTACAAGCTTTGCTTAGTTTGGGACTAGAGAATGTTGTGTAAAAATGTGTCCTAAAAATATTTATTATTATTATTATAATTATTTCTCACTTTCAATATATAAATAACAGGACATAATAGCAGATCATAGATAATTAAGGTCATACAAATACTTATAACAGGCTGTTGACTCTGTGGTGTTATTACCAAGGTTCGACTCCCACATGAGACAACTATTTGTGTGACCCATAGACAATTGTTTCGCATCAGTTCGCTAACAAAACTTCCAGCTGTGATCATAATACAATTCACCTCAAGGTCAGCTGCCGAATGAGCCACGCTGAGTGAGCGCGAGTTGACGCCGGGCGGCTCATTACGCTTCTCGACACTGTCTTCTGATAGCATTTTTCGCTGAAATAAAAGAGTAATGTATTTACCACAAATTCACTCAAAAACCGCTGTTGCAAGAATTCTATCCTTCATGTGGACGCTGCCTTACCTCCGCGCCTCCAGGCTTTAAAAAACACTAGGGGTAGGACAGAGCAAAACCTCTGAACCAATTATATGGTGTAGTTAAGTTAACAAATTGGAATAGGAAGTAGTTTTTCTTTCAGTACTATGTGTACTACTTCCTCACTGGACATTCCACATATATGTTATACTCTATGCATATTATAGTCTGTGGGGTGAAATATCGTCTTTTTCAATACCATTAAATAAAAAATAAATAAATAAACAAAAATCACTGTATTGCCTTCTTTATAACTTAAAACTAAAAATGCATTTTTAAACTTAAAGTACACAATAGAATGAAGGCAAAGGAGGTGGCTCAGCTTGTGCTGATCGTGACAGTGGTACCGAGCAGTGCTGGTTTTCAGCCTCTCCTCTCCCACTTCCCGAAGTGTTTTTCGGAAGTTTTAGTTCAGGCCTACCAAGCGAAAATGCGAAGTGCGTGCGTGCGTGCGTGTGCGTGCGTGCGTGTGCGTGCGTGCACGTGCGTGCGTGTGTCGGTGTGTGTCGGTGTGTGCCTGTGTGTGTATGCGTGCATGCGCACATACGTGTTTGTGTGTGTGCATGCTGTCCATACCTAACTGTATAATGTGGGTTACTTATTAAAATAAGCTTAAAAATTTCTAATGGGTGTGGGTCAAGTTTTAATAGCTGTGCATGAGTATAGTAATTCCCTTTTAGCAGACATGTTGAGTATATTATTCCTATTCAAACATGGTGTGATGAATTCTCTCCAGGATATGTTATAACAAAAACGTATACATGCATTTTGTACTCTTTATGTTAATCTGTCTGTTTTAGAGTTTAGCCTTGGGCCAAACACAGTGGAGCAATAATTAAATTGAGACAACACTAGTGACTCAGTTAGAAGCATTCAGAGATTTTCATTAATATATGGTCTAATTTTGTATAAGGTTTTTAATTTATAAAAGGTGTTTCTAACTTTACTGTTTATGTGTTCCGTATATTTTGGTTCCCTATCTATAATACCAGATTTCATGGAGAGTTTACTTGTTCAAGTTTTATGTCATTTATTTTTACCTTTACTCCACAATTCAGTGTCTTTTTTATTTGATGTTTCTTCCCGAGCACCAACATTTGATTTTTTTCATTAATTTTCGATGATTCAAATTTAGCAAATCATTTTCTTATATTAGTAGGAACATACAATAAAAATTACAATATCCTAGGTTAAATAATTATTTTATTATATTAAACTATAATTTTTAATATTGTTATTAAATTAATTTATAATAAAACACCGTCCATAAAGATTGTAAAGGAAATTTAAAAGTATAAGAAAGGAAATATTATTTTACTATCCATCTAACAACGTGAACTGAATCTTTACTCCAAATGCTAACTCAATGTCTTATTTACATTAACGTCGTTATTGAAAGGATGGTCAAGACATGCAATTTCCTATATGATTTATTGATTATAGACTCACCTGAGTACGAGGCAAGGATAAACCATTAGCGCAATAATCTCAAATCTGTTGTTTGTGTTTGATTAAAGGTGTGAAACATAGTAACAAATACGCTAGTCCGTGACACTATGAAATAAATTCAATACCGTGACAAAAAGCTTAATATAATTGTTGGTATTAGCTACTTTTTTGTAACTTTTCACATTTTTTTGGTAAAATACATGAATAATTTAGGAGTTTTGTTTAGCGTGATTGACCGAAAAATTGTAACGTTTGAGACTTGAGAGAATTGTTGATTGTTCACTGTAGGCACTCATTTCTAGTTTGTCAAACACATACTTGTCAAATGTCAACGAAAAATATGTCAAAGGACTAAGGTAAGTAACAAGTAAGTGTTATCTTGAAATAATAAAAATATAATCGGTTTTTTTGTATGCCTTTGCTATTATCGTTATAGTGGCTTCGTCGGCTGGTTTTTAACAACTTGCAACAACTTGGTTTTTAACGTTGCTAATTCAGAAGAACGACATGATGACATCGTCCGCTCCAGTGCTTCTCCGCGACCCTTGTAGATGAGGTGAAGGCGTGAAGGGAAATCGAACTTTTTAAAATGTGATAAGTCGAAATTGAAATCTAATCATGAGGTATATCCACTCATAGAGTAGATATGTCTCACATACTATACTATACCAAGCTAACATATTAACCACTTCTTTACCTAGTCTATAACAAAGTCGCTCCCGTTGTTTGTGCGCTTAAATCTTTCAAACTACGTAAGGGATTTTAATGTTATGTTCAGCAACAGATATAGTGATTCAAAAGGAAGGTTTATATGCATATTCCACCCGTGCAAAGTCGGCGCTGGTCGCTAGTTGGAAATAAACTAATTTTTAGGAGCCATTTAGACTCTTAAGTTTTAATAGTGTTTATCGCGCTGGCGATTTAGTGTTTAAGCTTAGCTTTCGGATCATTGAGACTCTCTGATGGTCCTACAGCTGGTATCGAAGGCATAGGGCCTGGGTGAGGCATCTGTGGTGAGATTCATTGATGACTCCGGAGAGTTGATACACTACTCGGATATAGAAAATTACATTTGGCATGGGCAGTGGCCCTGGAAATGGGACTGCCCATGACCCAGTGGCCTGTTGAAAGGCACACTGAATGTTCCAGTGTGCCTTACTTAGAGCAAAGGGGAGTAGCTCCCCACGAAAGCGTGTACGAAAGCTTTCCTGTGGCCCTGCCGATGTGCGGCCTAGGTGGAATATCGTGGGGGTTTTAGTCGGTGCGAGACCGATATTATCCGCTCTTGCCCTCGCGGTAGCGATTATGCGTAGGCAAAAACGCGTTAACAAAAAGAAAGGTAAAACATTTCGTTTTTAGCTGCTACAGCCGAAAACCGAAACGATTTCCAATTCCAATTTTAGTTTTATGGCTCCATCAATATATAACCTGATGATTCTGCCAATGTCAAGGTTGAATAAAACAAAGAGAAAGTAATATAATTCGCAGGTAAAGTCAATATTAACTTATTATTATATACAGTAGGTAGTCAATTATACGTTTGTGGTTGAGTTAACTGAACAAAGGACAAAAGAATAAGTTAGTTTATATATAATTTTTCATATATTATAATAAAATAAAAAAGTAAGTAGTTAAGGACAATATTTAAGGAAAATACTTTAAAAAAGAGAGTAAGAAAAACAATGTTAACCGAGGAAAAGAGTGGAGGAATAGGGGTAAGGCTTAATGTTATTGATAAGAAGGAATTTGAATAAAACTTTAATAAAAGGGGATTCAGTAAGAGTTAGAAGGAATGGAATATTAAGAGGCCTAGAAAGGTTGTGAGGAAGAACATCATTCAAAACGATTTGGTTACTAGCGATTGGTTTTGACGAAGGTAGTTTGACATTAGCTCCATAATACGTATGTCAAAATTCTATCTCCAGTAACCAAATCTAGCTGTAGATAGAATATTGAAACCAGCCGTAGTGTGCTTTTTTTTACAGTAAACACACAATTTTGAAATATTTTTTTTTGCAGGAAGAGTCGTGTTAGATATGGCGTATTGGTATTTAATATTAATGATGTTCAATGGAGGCATTTACTTTGTCTCTATGTCCTTCAACAGAGCTGTCTGAAAACACAATAAAAGAATAGTAGAAGATTAGTTCGCCTTCCTTTAGAACTTATGTATTCATTCGTTCACTTATTAATTCATTCTCTCCTACCAATAATATTCTCTCTTCAGCCAATGCTGTTATGGGAATCCTGTATGCCAACGTTGTCTTATCTTCACAGGGAAAAAGATTCATTCAATCTCGTTACTGGATTATACAAAAACAAGAATCACCACGCGACCATCTAGCGGTGGGAAATTATGATAAATTAATGTCAGAAATTAGGTTTTTACGTTTAGACGGACCAGGCACATTTTTAACCTATAAGAGAAATTTAGATCATTCCATCCCCTAAAAATTGAAAGACGTCATGGTATTTCCTCAGACGGACCTGCCCGTTCTTGTAATAGCGAAGACTATTGCGTAGCCCTGCCTAGCGTATTTGTCTTTTATTATTGCGTATTTCTAGTGGCGATGACCATCAATGATATTTAATAATATAGATGACGATGGACATTCATACTGCGTGGCGATTAAAAATTGGTCTGCTTTACATAATATGACATATACAGAGTGGCTTTTCTAAAGGTGCCCAAATTCATACAGGAGGTTCAGACTCGGTAATATAATCGTTTATTGATATAAAAACAAACAAAAAAATTGCCATTCCATTCCCTAAAAAACAGAACTTGTTGAAAATGCGGTAGTCATTCATAAATGCGTCGTATACATTTGAAACGAACTAGTGTGCGTTTTAGTTATGAATGATCGGTTACTTATGAATGATCGGTAAAATAAATGAGTTGCCCATAAATCACGCACTTTTTGATATAAGTTCAAATGAAAGTATTTAAGTAATTAAGAGTGATTTTAAATATTTATCATTTTTTATATAACATTATTTATGTCTATAGTTTAATAAAAAAAATGGATACACCTAGAAAAGCCTCCCTGTAGTGAATTTGACAGATAATATAGAACGCAAATAACAGTATATAGAATTGCAATCTAATTACACTAATAATAATAATTGGCGTATTTTGAGTGTCTCCTTTTTTTTTTGGATTTTATGGCCCGGTATCAAGGACCTTTAGGCCAAATGAGTGTCTCCGTTTCGGTGCGCTAGTGAGATATCTATTTCGTATTTGTATATAATATCATTGATGATCATATGACACTTGCGTTCTTTTCTAAGATATAATCTTAAATCAAAGTAATAAATACATGTCTTGTAATCGGTTATTTGGTACCTATGTCATTTTTGCTTACTTGGTAGTATGTAATTTTGTTTATGATTACATTCTAAATGCACTTTTATCTACAATTAAATTATTATATATAATAATATATTACATTTTTTCTATTCCAAGAACAACATTAATTTTTAGCTAAATATTATCTCACAATAAATGTCTGAGTAGTTTTGAAGTAATATTAGAGGGAGTATTAGATATATAGAATAAATATTAGCGAGATAATGAATTAAGAAGTAATATCACTATTTGTGTTACAAATTGTTTCTATTTCACATTACTTGTGCGTACGAATATCCGATTGCCTTCACATCATCTGGTGGAAGGACGCGTATCTATTGCTGTAGTTTTCAGCTTTTTGAAAGAAAATATGCATAGTGCTGTAGTGCTTGACGTCATACGAACGATGAATTTGTTTTAGCGTAGTTGTGTCGTTTTAAGTGGTGACATTGGTGTACGATAATTAATGTGGTTAGTTAAGTAGCGAAAATGGAGACTGATTGGAATGTAGAAGATCCGCCGACGCCTAAGGTATAGTCTTATATTTGAAATTGGAGCAGTGTAGTAATGTCATGGTATATCCGCCATCTTTGTCCCTCAAGACCCGTCGAAATCGTAAAATAATTAAGAGAAAGATCTAATAATTATATGTTTAAACATATGATTATGACTGACGACCGTATTGAAACACTTGGATAGTTTTTTTCATATCTATACGTATATCAGAACTGAAATATGGTTCTGCATTGCGGATACAATCATCAACTTTTTTTTAACCTAATTTTAACTTTGAAACATTATCTTTGTTGCTGTCTCGTATATTGCATCGTCCCAAGACATTAGAGCCTTGCTCCAAGATAAAATTTGCGTTACTGTAAACACATGAGCGTCATAGTAACGACTCGAAGTTTAAAACAAAGTTTACGCCAAGAAGGCACTGAAAAAAGCTTGTGCTACAATATTATACATGACACGATATCCTTAAACGTCTCCTTTCTACTTCGTTAACTGTAAAATAACTGTAAATTACGTACGCGACGAGTATTGTGCCGCTGTGCCACTTTCAGAGTTGTTTCGCAATTTCGATAGTTGATGAAGACAATGCATGTCTTCTTGTAATGATATAACGTCCGATGCCATTATACGCCGTTTTAGTTAACATTGCACGCGTTTAGCACAACGTAAGCCTTAATCGGCGCTATTACAAATATTTTCATGTTTGTTTATAAATATAATTTTGTTATTTTAAGGCATGATATTAGTTATGCATATTCTATGTCAGCCACATGCACTTTTCTGAAATTGAAAATAGGATGAACAATTGACAATATTTATTAATCATTCCTACATATTAAATTTCTGTACTAATTTCCTAATACACTTCTTTCTGTAAAAAAAAAGTCGATTTTTCTTTAACATGATACCAGTATTTTTAGCATTTGGTTTAAGATAATTAATATTTCCATTTAACACTTTAAACCTGTATTTCAAATATTTTATTGAAATACATCATTGATGTTTTATTCTTCATGTAGCCTCGATATGCATGGCATAATTGTGACCTACACATACACGTACATACATATACACCTCAACTATACATCATTTAATGGGGCAAAGGAGGTATATAATAATACCAATACAGCCATTGCTTATCAAATAGGCATGCCAAGTCATTTGTGTAGATTAAAATGTTCTCAGTTGGGATTCTTTGTGTTTCTGTAACTAGCAATATGATTATATCTCTTATTTATTAGGCCTCTTATTTATTAGGCCCATTAAAGATGGTTTATCTTTAATGGGCTTAATTTTCAGAGGTATTTACTATTATTATGATAATCATCATGTGTGGGGAGCAGTGACAAGGATGGCTATAGTTATTTTAAAGTTTTACTAATGTTACAAGACTACTTCTCAATCATCCGTGTAAAAATTCTTAATAATTTAATTGTTCCTTTGAGCCAAATGTTTGTAACTTTTATCACATAAACAGATAAATTAATGTAAGCATTAGTAATAATAAAGAGATTACCATTTAAGTTCTTTGAAAGACAGTTTGATGGGTAACCTATGTCTTGTTCAAGAATCAAACAAGACCTGAAGTTCCTATTCTGCTGAATGACTTTTATTGACTTTATACCAGGGACCAGAGTGAGGCAGTGATTTTCAGATCTTCTTTAATTTAAGATCTAGGCTCTTGTCTGTGCAGCATCCCAGTAGTTCAGCTATGTGCATATCATTGTAGCTGCAATGAAACTAGTTGCATACTAAAATGTTTTTCAATTCACAATATTGATTTAATTTTGTCAGAGGGTTTTCCTGTTGGGTGATTTATTTTATGTTAACTTTAACTTCATTCTGAATGTGTCATTATTATTATTATCAATTATCAAATTCCTCATATTTACTACAGGGTACAAATACAACTAAAGGGGTATTAAAATTATTTAATTAGGGCATAAATATAATATGGTATCAATGTTTCACAGTACCAAAAAATTATGCTGGACTAGTGATGACATGAAATTCTCAATGCAATTTGAGATGATTTTTGATATGTATAGTAGGCCCTTCAATTCAAAAAACTGCTTTAGGCCAATCAATGGCAGTAAACAGGCCTCTTGCAGATTTTCTATATATGAAAAAATTAGGACAAACATTTTATTCTAAAATTTTCCGTGACATTTCAATTTTTTCATGTTTAATTAATTTACTGTTATTCTTCTTTGTATATATTGCATGCTTTAACTTAGCTTCAGACAGGCCAATCTTAATCCGAAAGTTTTTTCATATATCTATGCCTCTAAATTATTACAAAAAAAAATTAGGACAAACATTTTATTTTAAAATTTTCCGTGACATTTCAAATTTTTCATGTTTAATTAATTTACTGTTATTCTTCTTTGTATATATTGCATGCTTTAACTTAGCTTCAGTAACACCACAATTTAATCCTAAAGTTTTTTCATATATCTCTTAATGCCTCTAAATTACAGGCACAATTTTAAAAATTATAATAACTTGCCAAAACAGGAGCACATTCACCAGCATATTTGCTTGCGTTTAATCCATTTAAATTATGGTTATAACACATTTTCAATGGACTTCAAAAAAGTAGTAATTTCTTCAATATTAATTTTAATTTTGATGATTTTTTTTTTTAAAGCTGTTGCTTCCCTTGCGGTCCCATTATAATTTCATTGGTATTGGATCTTGGGCTATTAAGATGCTTAGGAAGCTCCTGAAAATCAATTATAAAATGAATACGGAGCAAGATATTTGAAGTTGGTTTTGTTTTTCGTTAATAAAAAAATTTACTTATATAGAATTGCACTCTCTCTCTCGAATAAAACATTTTTTTTTCTTTTTGTAAATGTACAGTGCACAGTATAATATGGTGCACATATGAAATTAATAGTACTTTTGCAGTTTAAGAATTATTTTTAATTCAACATTATGACCCATATACACATCCAATGAAAAAGTTTAGATGTTTTTTCTTCTTTACATGTTATTTTTTTTTTCTATATTTCAGGTGACCTCCCTAACTTCGTTGGATACGGGCGTTCGGCCAGTGCCCAGCGGCGCAGCTTACGTCGCTGAGAGGAACACATGCCTAAACCTATTCTCGAGATGGAACGAAACGGACCAGGTTACATCTTTTACGTGAACATTAAAAAAAATCCTCTGCACGCTTCTCAATCTGGTTAAAATTGAAAAAGCATTTGAAAATTGTCCGGCACTTTACTGCTATCTCACCTGATAGGCATGTTGTAGTCCTTCTTTAAAAAAAAAACATCTCATAGAATGAGATTCTCCTGTGCATTTGAGGTGTTTGATTTTTTTGATAATGTAATAATGATGACTCCGTGGCGCAGTTGCTAAGGTGGCTTCGGCGTTGGGGGTCGTGTGTTCGATTCCCACACGGGACAACTATTTGTTTGACCCACAGAGTTGTTTCGCATTTGAGTGTTTGTCCGCATGTAAATAAAGATTTATAAATAAAGAGAAATAAGGACAAATTAATTGCACCCTTGTTTCGTCCACAAAAAGTAAATAGGTTTATGGGGCAAAGTGTACGCATATATAATAAAACCTCACAGTCGACAATAAGTCTGCCACTTGACCAATTTAAATGCAGAATTAAAAGTAAACTTATGGCTAAAGCATATTATACCATTGGTATATCTCAACGATGCCAATGTGTGAAGTTAATACTGTTGATACTCACATAGGCTAAAATAATATTATGTGTGTATGTTATATTGTAATTCGATCATTTTAAAAAAAAAGGGCAACTGTTGAGTTTCTTGCCTGTCTCTTCTCAACTACTGAAACTGCCTTCCAAACCGGTGGTAACTTACTTACGAACTTATGTATTAATAATTTATGTAAACCTCGACGTATCTTCAGAACACGCAAGCGTCTAATAGTAATTTGAATAAAGATTTGAATTGCTAGGAGATTGATTGCCATCGGACGGAATGGATCTCTTCTACCACAATTTCTTAACAGAAAATATGAGTATGTTGATTGGTCTTAAAAATGCTTTCTGAACATTCCAGGTGGAGTTCGTGGAACAATTGCTGGCACGGATGTGTCACTATCAGCATGGTCACATAAACGCTTACCTCAAACCGATGCTGCAGAGAGATTTCATTAGCATGCTACCGAGTGAGTCGTCTTTATATACTACTAGCTTTTCGCCGTGCTGAAGCCCTTAAATAAATATCTTTCAACCGTTTACAACACTTTTTTCCAATTAAAAACATAGCCTATGTCCTTACTCAGGCTGTAGACTATCCGTGTATCAAATTTCATTTAAATCGGTTCAGTTGTTTTGGGGGTGAAAGCGAGACAGACGGATGGAGTTACTTTCGCATTAATAATATAAGTATGGATATAATTCTTCTGTACATGTGTTTGTCACTGTACTCCTAAACGGTTGGACCGATGTGTTAATGAAGTTTTTTTGTGTCTCTTCAGGTCGATTCGAGAATGGTTTAGATTCAGAATTCGTTTTTTTTTATTTATAAGTTGTTGTCGGATCTAAGACGCGTGTACAACGTCGAGGCCGAAAGTACAGTTCGACTCAGTGGCGACGTTAGTAATATTGGGTTCCGAGTCGGGGTTTATGGGTTCGATTTTGCACACGGGACAAGTATTTGCGTGACCCACAGATAATTCCGGATCTGTGTATGTTTCCCAAGGAGGGCAGACGTCAGGCAGGCGGCCGGTGGTAAAAGACATAGCCAAAACAGCTTACGACATTATTCACATGTTGTGACGACCCCATCCAGGTGGGGTAAGGGCAGGAAACTTTCCCATTACCTCAGTTTTCCTTCAAAGGTTTTTCGAGCTGATTGAAGAATATTGCGTATCCAATCATCATATTGCAAGAATGGCTCACCAACAGCATTTAGTCACGGATTTGATCCTTACATGGGACCAATGAAATAGATAATCTAACTTAGTTGTCTATTTCAGGATTATGACTGTCCGAGTGGGTATCTCGCTTTCCATAATTTAACTCGTCTTTATGATCTTATTTGATCTTGAAATGTTTAGTAATAGTAATTTTATTAAAGTATCAAATGAACAAACTGGGTAATAAGTGTCCCCTACAACCGCTGCAGAGAAAGGCCTGGACCACGTGGCGGAGAACATCCTCTCTTACCTGGACGCCAACTCGCTGTGCGCCGCCGAGCTGGTCTGCCGCGAGTGGCAGCGAGTCATCTCCGAGGGTATGCTGTGGAAGAAGCTGGTCGAGAGGAAGGTGCGCACCGACTCGCTATGGCGGGGGCTGGCGGAGAGGAGGGGCTGGTGAGTATTGGACGGTGTGTGGGGGGGGGGGGGGGGGGGGGGGGGGGGGGGGGGGGGGGTAAAGTAAAAGTCTATAACAAAAAAAAAAGCGTCAAAAAATTACCACCGGCTCACTAAACCAGACCTGTCCGAGGAGAATGGGCAAGCAACTCTGCTACCTTTAATTTTTAAATGCTACGAGTTTACAAAATTATTTAGGTATAAAATCGATAGCAATAAGTATAACTCTTTCTTTATATAATTATTCACGTCGGACAGTTTTTTTTAATGACATTTTTTGTGTCTTCCGGAGGACTAGAGAATGGTTTAGATTCACAATTCGGTCCACTACATTATCTTTTTTTTATAAGTTGTCGAAATTAAGTTTTTTGTACAGGATTACGTCTGTCGGGTCCGCTAGTGTATTATATTTTTTTAATAATATGACAAATTATGAAGTGGCTTAACTGGTGATCTATTACACCACATGGTGAATTATTACACTACATGAATTGTAAAAGCCTAGCTGGTGCCAAACTCGTATCAGCCAGTGGGCCAAATGTGACGCAATCACTTGTAATGTTAGAGATTACGATATACAATTTAGAAAACCTTGTGTCAAATCCTGCATATCTAGGTAATGATTAAAAGCACATTTCTATCTTGTGAGAGCTTACCATTGCCCAGCAGGAGGACTTGTGTATGCTCTCAGTTTATTTTTAATATTATATGTAGGGTTTGAAAGTCCATATGTTCTTCATTAAAGCAGTCCACTTAAGCACTTACTCAAGTTTCATCTCCCGTCCCTCAGGATCCTTTATCTGTTCAAGCCGAAGCCTGGTTGCCAGCATCCGTCTCACTCCTTCTACAGACAGCTGTACCCCAAGATCATACAGGACATACAGTCGATCGAGGACAACTGGAGAATGGGAAGGCACAATTTGCAGGTAAGGAATACACCTTCACAAGGTACACCAGTTCAAAATGATTTAAACAATCCAAACTGATATAACAAATTTGATGTACTTTTTTTTTTTTTTTTTTTTTAAAAAGTTGCCAATCCAAAACTGATATAACTTCATTCAGGATTTGACTTCTGGGGATTTTTTCCGTACTAATTTAATATCGAAATTTGTGTTTTTAAAAAGTTTCTAGCCCAGACGCTTTAACCAAGACGCTTTTACCAATAATCTATAAATAAATTATTATACTGATTACTACACTGAAGTAAAAACTCATCGTTTTTATCATATTTTATGCCCTTTACAATACACAAACAAATTTAAAATATCGTTTTTTTTTTAAAAGCCCTTATTTAAGGATAACATTGTCCTGTGTTGTAAGGACGTTTGTACAAACATAAATTTCACACGGACAAACACCCAGAATGCGAAACAGCTATCTGTGGGTCTCACAAATAGTTGTCCCGCGTGCGGATCGAACCCACGACCCCCAACGCCGAAGCCAATAGTGCCAATACATTGGCAACTGTGCCTCGGAGTCGTCAACAAGTTTAACAACGATAATTCGCACGAGCGACATCTCACGTGCATCTTATTGCTTCAGATGAAAGGTTTATATTTGATCAACTTGTTACAATGCATGTATTTCTTCTTTCTATAATATATAGAGCCGTGATAGCTCAGTATACGGGCGCTCGCCTTTAATTCGATAGACTCGAGCAACTTGAGTTCGATCCCCGGTGCCGGCACCGATGAAATTGTGAATTGCAAGTGCTGAACTATCACGTGCTCAGCGGTGAAAGAAAACATCGTGAGGAAACCTGGATATTTTCGAAATAATAATAAAAAAAATTCGAAGATGTGTGAAGTCCGCCAATCCGCAGTGGGCTGCGTCACCACGCAGCATAGTCCACCGACTATGCCCTGATACCCTCTGTACAGAGGAGGCCTTTGCCCAGCAGTGGGACATGTATAGGCTGATACTTTACTTTACTTATAAGATATAGAAGATTAGCATAATCATGATATTTTGTGGTTTAATGTACCAAGACCACACAATTTATTATAAAAAAATTTTTTCAGCCTGTATTTCTACATGATGATTGGTATTAATTTTTATCTGAATATGCAGTAATTTCCGGGACTCCCTTTCCAGAGGATAAACTGTCGGTCGGAGAACTCCAAAGGCGTCTACTGCCTGCAATACGACGACAACAAGATCGTCTCCGGGCTAAGAGACAACACAATCAAGATCTGGGACAGAAAAACTCTTCAATGTGTTAAGGTGGGGACTGTCATTTTATTTATTTTGTTGCATAATTAGAAAAAGTTAGACTATAGCCCCATTAATATGCTTTATAATAAACAACAGGGACAACTTAGTGTTCATGCATTGACTTGAGTCTCATTAAATAAATAGTAATAATAAATAAATAAATACATATTTTACAAATTTTAACACAACTTTTCTAGCCCCAAACTAAGCAAAGCTTGTACTATGGGTACTAAATACATATTATATAATCCTTATATAGCTAGCACCTACACTTCTCTTTCACTAACTTTCCAGTTGGCTGGTTTTATGCCCGCCGTTTGTACCAGTTAGTACAAAAAAGTGTGTAAATAAATAAATAAAATAAATAAATAATTGATAATTATACTGAAACATACTTTTCTTTTCTAAATAATTACATATTATAAATATACACAAAATATTATGTTCATCACACAATATTTTACCAGTAGTGCGGATCGAAGCACACCCTATGGCGCAAGAGGCGGTGTCACTACCCACTACGCCAATCAGGTCGTCATTGGGTGTGATTATTTCTTGAGTGTGTACGTCCTTGCTCCAGGAGCTGCAGGGTCACACCGGCTCCGTGCTGTGCCTTCAGTACGACGAGCGAGCGATCATATCTGGATCGTCGGACAGCACGGTTCGAGTCTGGGACGTGTCCACTGGAGCTATGCTCAACACCCTCATCCACCACTGCGAGGCGGTGCTTCACCTGCGCTTCTGCAACGGCATGATGGTCACCTGCAGCAAGGTGGGGTCGATGCACTGTCTAAGTGAATACGGGAGCGCAACATCTGGACCATTTTTTCTCACCCTGTCATGGGCTACCGGCATTAAAACAAAAATCCAATGCCCCGTTTTACATAGCAGCTATACCAAATGTTATAGCCGTCCATTATCTGATATTAGAGATCTCTGTCTAGTTGCGCTTCTCGTGTGTGTAGTTAAGCAGCGAGAACCTTAAAGTTTGTAGAAAAATAAATGTACGAAAATCGTACCCAGACGCTTTACCTACACTATACAGGGATGGCTTTTCTAAGTTGAGACTCGGTAGTATAATCCTTTATTGAAATAAAAATAAACTTTTTTTTTTTCAAAACAAATTGCCATTCCATTACCTTAAAAACAGAACTTGTTGGCAATGCGGTATTAATTCATTAATGCGTCGTATATATATGAAACGAACTGTGCGTGTGTGTTAGTTATGAATGATCGTGCGCAAAATAAATGAGTTGCCATAAATCACGCACTTTTTGAGATAAGTTCAAATGAATGTATTTAATTAATAATGAGTAATTTTAAATATTTATCATTTTTTATATAACATCATTTATGTCTAGAATTTAATAAAAAAAAAAAGGCTACTCTTAGAAAAGCCTCCCTGTATAGTCCTATTTCACCATCTTAGTTATAGTAACAGCATAACAGTCAAAATGCTATAAATATTTGTACCACTGCTGGTCCCGTAGTCAGGCCCGACAGCAGAGTGCATGTCTTTAAAATATTTCTTAACTTATTATACAAGGGCCGTGATAGCTCAGTGTTCGGGCGCTCGCCTTTAATATAATAAACTAGAGCAACCTGAGTTCGATCCCTGGTGCCGGCACCTATGAAATTGTTAATTCAACGGTGGTAGGGCCACGCAGCAGCCTCGGCTGTTGCACGAATGGGCAGGTAAGTACCACGACCTCACAGAAGACCAGCGTAAAGTGGAAGTATGACAAATACTTTCGCGTGTCGTCTGGTACGTGAGTTGGCGGGAGCCCCATTTTCAAAAGATTGTCAACGCATCTGTAACCCCAGGGTGTGGCACATGTCCATGGACGGCGGTATTCACTTACCCATCAGGTGAACTGTCTGCTCGTTTGGCAACTTTTCACATTAAAAAACAAATTAAGTGCTGTGGAAACCTGCATATTTTCGAAATAATTCTGTGGAAATTCGAGCTACCAAACCCAATAGCTGGGGGAGCTATTTAGATATCTAGATGATAATCATACTTAATGTGCCGCCAATTGGTTTCCAGGATCGGTCGATAGCGGTATGGGACATGACCTCCACAACGGAGATAATGCTGCGCAGGGTTCTGGTGGGACACAGGGCTGCAGTCAACGTTGTGGACTTCGACGAGAAGTACATTGTCAGCGCCAGCGGGGATCGTACAATTAAGGTAATGCACCACCTTTCTTGTCACATCAGACAACTTGGATTTCCCGTTCTACCCCCGTGGTATAGAAGTCTGGTGAAAGACTCACTTTTAGACCCTCTGGCATAATTAATTAAGGCCTGCTGAACTGTTGTAAATCCTTAAATCATCACAGAGTAAATGACCTGCCATTCACACAGAATCATTTTTATTTACTTTGGCAACCAATCCAAAGTCTGTTGAAACACAATTCTTTGGCCAATGAAACCTAGGTCTTGTAAGAATTTTCATTAACAAAGAAATCATGATCTAGTGGCTCGAATTACATTCAAATCTACGTGAACCAGTAACTTATTTTGAAATTTTCCATACTGTAATTTTTGTGATGTAACTTGTGTAGTACTTTAACAGAATTGTTAATGCCGTCTCTTGCTCTGTGCCATCTAGCACATAGCTAGTGCGCGCAATGTCGTTAGTTAGATACGCCTAATGTGACATGGGATAAATATTTATGTGATTCACAAATTGCTGTTCCGAGTCTACGTAAACTTTGTGTTAATCATTTGACATCTTTATAAATAAAAATCTAGCCCAAAACTCAAAAACTAGCCGACAGACTGACTTAGATTTTTTTCACAACATAGCTATTGACCAGGAGAGTGTTTTTATATGCTTTTTATTCCGAACTTCCAACATAAACGTTAAAAAAAAAGCCACAGCGAAGCATGGTCGGGTTTAACTAGTGAACTCATAGTAATTAAGCTTCGCCTCAAATGTGCTTTCAGGTGTGGAACACGTCCTCGTGCGAGTTCGTCCGCACGCTGAACGGCCACAAGCGTGGCATCGCCTGTCTCCAGTACCGGGATCGTCTGGTGGTCTCTGGCAGCTCCGACAACACAATAAGGCTGTGGGACATCGAGTGCGGCCAGTGCATACGCGTCTTGGAGGGCCACGAGGAGCTGGTTCGGTGCATACGGTGAGCGAGTGGGGAACGGCGATCAATTCGTGGATGGCATCGGAGTGGCAAATCCCCGGTGGCAGAGGAAATATTAAATAAGCCCGAGTGTAGTTTGTTCTTCGTTTGAGTGAACGCTTAATGTATCCTCACTGGAAAGCTTTCATTTTTTAATAAAAAACTGGCCAACGCTTAGCTACCATCTTAACTGATGGTAAGTGGAGATGCGGTCTTAAATGGTGAATGCACTAATGTCGAAAGAAAAACTAACAGTTAAAACCAGCAATGGGTTTATGGCACCAATCGTACTAACGAATAAACTTTTAACAATCCAACTGAATCAATCTCTATCACTCAATGTGTATCCAAAAACCTATTGCTCCCTTAAGTCATGATGGTGCCTCGAACCCACTCGAGGCATGTATCTGCTCTGGACACACTCGATAATGTTATTTTAGTACAAGGGGGCAATGTTTTGGAACCACTGCGAACGAAATCTATTTTAGTCTTCCACAATGGACCTGGTTCGCGGGGGTCGTTGACACTCAACCCAACCCCTTGCACACAAAACACGAATACAATCCAGGCTTCCACAATAGATCTGGTTCGCGGAGGTCGTTGAGACTTAACCCAATACACAAGCCACCGTCATAAACACCAACTCAGCGGCGCCACCTTCCGTCCGCAGCTTCGACAACAAGCGGATAGTGAGCGGCGCGTACGACGGCAAGATAAAGGTGTGGGACCTGCGCGCGGCCCTGGACGTGCGCACGCCCCACCAGGACCTCTGTCTGCGGACACTTGTAGTGAGTTACACCATGCCGCTCGGCTTGCCAATAGCGAGCGCCGGCCCCAACCCCACAAGTCTGGAGGATGCTTATTCGCTGCAACCCACGAGCCACCAGAGAGATATTTTTTTTTTAAGTGAAAAGTTGCCAAGCGATCAGACGGTCCACTTATGTTAAGTGAATACATGGACATCTGCTACACCCGAGGGTTGCAGATGCAGGACGTACTACAATTTTTGAAGTGAAACTTGTAATGCGACCTCCAACAAGGCTGCGTTAGACGTTTAACGCTAGCATGGAGGCGGTGCGAAAGCACTGTTGCGTTGAACGTTCAACGCTCCTGCGGAGGGGGAATAGAAAGAGACAGAGCGAGAGTGAGTGCGTGGCACTCGAAGTTTCATTTCTTCTGTGCGGGAGACTCCACACATTTTTTTTTATTAATACTCCAAGAACTATGATTTATGGATCACTTATTCACTGCCGTCCACGGAGCTCGTCATGTCTCACAAGCTATAAGTAAAACAAATTTACTTCCTATGAACTATAGGTTTTTTTATTAACACTCAAGATCTCCGGTTTGTGGGTTGGAGGAAATAAGTTTTCTTCGATGATGTCGCTTAGTGCTGTCTAGCATCTCGTGGTAGAAGGGGCGTGCGTCTAACGCAATTTTTAAGTAAATGGTGCTGTATTGCTGAATTTATAGGGTATATGCTATAGTCATTGTGGAAATCTACCATTTCTACAAACTCTATGCCTGATGAAGAGTTTAAGTTTAGTAGTATTTAGTAATCCTGTTAGTAAAAAAAGTAGTAGTTTTTCACGGGCCAATAATTATTGCTAATCCCATTTAAGTTTTCACTTATTCACTAAACAACAATGCAATACTTAGATGTTTATTTCCCAAAAAAAATGTTCTCTTCTCTACAAAAATTATTCTTTTGTAACTTCCGTGACTGACTTGACCTTGGCAGAATTCTTTAAAGAGAAGCCATAAAGAAAGAATAAGGATATATCTCAATATATAAAATTTAAAGTTTTTGAACTTATATCCAAATGTTTTCATCTATGAGGGCATGTAATTTAACATAGATGTATGCTATAATAGATCTTAAATGTATCGAGTACAGTCCAACTGCACAAATGGGAAGGCTTGTCTGGGAGAAACCCACCTTTTTAAAGGTTGTCAACGCATCTGCAAGCACTCGGGTGCTGATGTCCTTGGGCGGCGGTAATCAGTTAACATCAGGTGAACTGGCAACGGTTGACAACTTTTATCATTCAAAAATAAATTCTACAAGAGGGAAAGGTCATCTTAAAACTATCACTGCCCCTATCACGATATGCTAGAGTTACATTTTAGTCATTAGATATAAAAATTGCTTTGGGGGACAACAGCGCACGCTGTTGGCAAGCTAAATGGCATTCCGAGAAAACTGTTGTTGTTTTAAATATTTTTTGTTCTAAATGATTAGATTTTGTTTCCATTAAAACTGTTCCAGAGGACTGTGCCTTTCCAATATGTCTTAAAATAGAGATTAAGAACTTTGGGTGGGGAGAGGAGGGTCGCACCATTAAATGTGTTTTTATTAAGTAAAGATAAACTTTTTTTTTTACTTAATCACAAATAAAAGTCTTAGAACTTAGTCTCCCAGTGCGGTTGTGAACTTTGTACCGTCTAAATAATTGATTTAATTTTTTTTTATATAGTAATTTAAGGAATTTATGCAACAAGTACATAACATATTGTATTTGTATGTTAATGTAAAATCGGTTTATGATCTATGCACTAAAGGTTTCTATAGTATGATTGTGACAAGTTGTCAGCTGGGATTTTAATGCTTTGTAAGTCCCTCATATTGGGTGTATGTAGTTTAAAGGAAATATATGTTTATTACATCTAGGTAAACTGAATGCTACTTCAAGCGAACTGGGTTAATTCCTGTAATGCTAGATGTAAGGTGTTATATAAATAAAGCGATGACAAAGTGATAATGCGACATATTAGCCCAATTAATTTTTTTGCAATGGATTTTCACTCCACAATAATACTTATATGTAATTACAATATTTTAATTTTCGTCTGATTTCAGGCGAGGCCCTCGAGAACAATGGAAAAGCGTTTGCTGTTTCCCTTGATGTCTCAATGGCCAAACAGGGGTTTGACAGGGTTAGGCACGCTTGCCATATAAGCAAGCTTCCAGCGTATGGCATATCACCTGGTCTAAACTGTCGTTCTCTTCGAATTATCGTCGAGCACGTGACAACCAACGTGGGGGTTCCTCAGGGGTCCCTCCTCTCCGCAACACTTTTCTTGATGCATAACGATCCATTGATGAATTAATGATCTGCTAATGCCTGACATGTATGGATACGCGGATGCAGTGGAGTGTGGGGACTTACCAACCGAGTTATATAGGATAGACCAGTAGTATAGATATAGGTTTTATTAGAAAACGAGGCCATGGTAGGGTGTGAATCTCACATTTCAGGCACTCTCCAGTTGGGGCAATGACAATCTTGTGGGATTCAATGAAATTTAAAGCCAGGTCTTTTCACTGAAAAAACGAGTATGTTCGCCTCGCCCCTTACTTTTCGTATGTACCGTTAGAATACTCCGACCGCTTTCAAATGATTGGTCTTGTGATTCCCGCAAAACATAGCATTGGCTGCTTCATAGGACACTGAACATAGGAATATGAACAAATATGAATTAAATATGCATTATTGTTCGCTAGAAAAAATTAACTTAAAGTTACAATTGGCGGTCTTATTGCTTAGAAGCTTTCCAGGCAACCACGTTACAGAGGATATAATGACGACTGAGAAAGGGTTGACGTGTAGAAAAGCAACTGTTATAATCACATACAGTGTACTTACATATAAAAAGTGTAAAAAAAAAAAGTACATAATAATATACATATACAGGGAGGCATTTCTAAGTGTATCCATTTTTTTTTTATTAAATTCTAGACATAAATAATGTTATATAAAAATGATAAATATTTAAAATTACTCATAATTAATTAAATACATTCATTTGAACTTATCTCAAAAAGTGCCTGATTTATGGGCAACTCAATTATTTCACGCGCGATCATTCATAACTAACACTCGCACAAGTTCGTTTCAAAAGTATACGACGCCTTTATGAATGCCTACCGCATTGTCAACAATTTCTGTTTTTTAGGGAATGGAATGGCAATTTCTTTGAAAAATCAAAGTTTGTTTTTATTTCAATAAACGATTATACTACCGAGTCCGAACCTCCTGTGCGAATTTGGGCCACTTTTAGAAAAGCCACCCTGTACATGTGGTGTTAATCTAGTTTCGTGTTCCGCGCTTGCAGGAGCACACCGGCCGCGTGTTCCGGTTGCAGTTCGACGAGTTCCAGATAGTCTCCTCCTCGCACGACGACACCATCCTCGTGTGGGACTTCCTCAACTGCGGGGGATCCCCGGCGGCGGCGGCGCCCGCGCCCGCCCCCGCCCCCGCGCCCGCCCCCCGCCGCGCCTCGCCGGAGAGGGACCGCTTCTACGACTAGGTGCGTGGCAGACCGTTGTGCTGTGTTCTGTGTGGTGGGCAGCAAGTCCCAACGGTCCACTGCGACCTAGAAGTCATACAGATTGGAGTGAAGGAGTCATGGGATCCGCTCATGCTAAGACGTAGGGCGCTTTCGACCAATGACAACCAGAGACAATGCCCGAGTCATGTTGGGTTCAATTCCCCGAAACCCATACCTGCCCTTGCTCAACTGTTAGTGTTCAGGATAGAACAAGGAAGAAGAAACAAGGCTTCTGAAGGTGTTATATTAATATAATTTCAACTAAGAAAAAATTAGTTTGTATTCGAATGCGAGTCCGTTACGGTTGGAAGTCAGTGCGAATGTATAAATTTGAATGTGAGTCGTTAACCATCCTGAGCCAATATATTTAAAATCTAACGGTCGACTCCCAACGCGAGTGTTACAAGTATTAAAAACAGTCTATGATTTATGCATGAATTTATACATATTAATAAGTTTAGTTTTATTTATAATTTAAGTTGTCTGTAGCGCAGACAGTTAGGGTAGTGTGGATGACTCGTGTGTGTGCAAAGATCTATTGTAATCTCAGGTTAGAAAACAATGCCCCTGCTGTTGTATTGTATTTTTGTGTGGAAGGGATGGGGTGGTCTCAACAACCACTTCAAAGATAAAATTTCTTTATTCATCATAGGCTTATTTTAAACTCTTATTGAATGTGGGAAACTACCACTATTGATTCACTAAACTAGACCTGCCAGAGAAGAACCGGCAAGAAACTCTATTGGTTTAGATTCCATAAGACTAGAGATATAACTCTATTGATTAGAAAGATCTATTGTAGTCTTCCCTTCTAAAAAAAATCTCTCTTGTAATGTATTTATATGAGGAACGGTTGGGGTAGTCCCATCGACCTCTCCAGTTTAGCGAGACCATTTGTAGATTTTCTTCTAAAATGTTGCCCCCTTGTGTTGTATTGTATTTTCGTCTGGAAGAATCGGGGTGGCCACAACAATCTCTTCGACCTAGAAAGATCTATTCTAGTCTCCCCTTTGAAAATATTGCCCTCTTACTGTAGGACATACATAAACTTCACATGGACAAACACCCACATTGGTAACAATTATCTGTGGGTCACACAAATAGTTGTCGCATCATTTCCATCCGTTTCCAGTCCATTGAGGAACATAGGATATATTTTGAGCGACAATAATGCTTCCATGTTCTATTAGCGTTAACTCCATTGGCTAATCTATGTAATCTTTTCAACTGCAGGTAATTCAAAAATGTCGCAGTCCGGCCCCTACATCGCGCTTATGATGCTGACGAATTGCGTCACAGTGATAAGTGGCGTGTGACAAGTGACGAGTGACAAGTGACAAGTGACGGTTAAGCGGCACTGATTGCCGTGTACGGGAACAGTGCGACGAATTAATATTTATTGATCGAACATTGTGTTACCATGAGTGCGAAGAGTGAATAAGATGAATTGGAGATTCCCACGCCGCCTCGGCAATGGGGGTGGGTTTCCCGATGCTGGGCAACAGACAAGGGGCTATATTTCGCGCCGTCGGTGAAATGATCCCGTTGCTGTCACAAAGACATTGCCACCCTACCGGCTTACGGGGTGGACTCCGAAGTCCTGCCGTCTCATTCTTGGAGCGAGACAGCGCATCGGCTTCTAAAACAGGATCCGCGAGCTGGCAACGTCTGCCTTTAGGATCTCAGTTCTATTCGTAAGATTGTAAATAGAGGCTAGTGGAGCGTCAGCTGACAGATCCATGACAGGTGATCAAGTGGACAAAGCTTCAACCGTCGGAAAACGGACCTTGCGTCCAACGGATAACGTCTGAATTCGCTTAATTCGAAACCGTGAATATCGTTACACGCAGTATTTTGTATAGAGTAGGATCGGATCGTTCAGTGATTTTGATACTACGTTGTATAAGATTTATAGGTGCCTTGCTAAACACCTAGCTAGCTCTGGTTTTAGGTAAATTAAGTACTATTGTTGTATGCTTGTAAAGTCTATATTGCGCTGTAGCCAGCAATGGCGATGTCTGTACCGGCGAACGCCGCGGCGGCATTAGTGCGTACACGTCTTGCCATTGCACAACTGTTAATGTAATCGACCTTACGGCTAAGCGTTAAGATCGAAATTTGTTTGAGATTGTTCCGTTTTAGTTTACACAAGCGACTAGTGTTTTATGTACTTTGTTGTATTCAAGACGCTTTTTGATTATTACCCTCCAGTGATATTTCGTAAACTCGCAAATGTACGCACTACAAGTTCATGTGATACGCTTTAATTTCATTTAATTTGAAATAGACTAAACCGTCTCTGTTTATATAGAATTTCGTTTCGTTTGTATATGGAAGTAGACAAGGAAACATCATATTGGTTACTCTTCAGAAATTTTACAGTTGACAGTTATACAATGGAGTTCTACTTGAAAACATACAGTATGCACCATTGTTAAGGTTTACTCACCAACTTTCCGATAGCTGGATGCATACTATCAAACTATGACACCAACTCTTAGCGAATTTGTCTATGTCCAACATTTCTGTGATGCAACAAGAAATGTAGAAACTGAACATATAGGAAAGCTAAGTAATCGAACGTCGAGAATACTAGTGAAACCGTACTGCCAAGATAGATTTAGATAGAGTAAGGGATTTTTCAGTGATTCATCTCGACAAATCATCAGAATATGTATTATGAAAGTATATACCATACACTTTGTTGTCCATCAAATTTAGCTCGTAAATTGAGATCTACCTACACCAATGATTCCAGCAGATTATTCTGTTATGAACATAATGAAAACTTAAATACAAGCATATATATCAAATACAAAAATAGAAATTTAATTGTTTTAGGGCGAAACCCAAATTAACTTTTTATGTCATTATTTATTATTTTCACAGTCCTAAAAATTTTTTACCCCTTTGGGGTCAGTATAGACAATTTTTTGTTCCTGAATAGATTATCTGATTAATATGTTGTAAACCTACACAAACTCTTTTGGTTATGTTTTGTGTCATTTTATTAACTCAAATTGTCAATATTTGATACCTCCAATCTAATTTATCTGAGCTTGCAAATAGATGTCATTAATTTTAGCAAAGTCAACACATACTGCTAAAATAACATAAATATCTAAAAAAAACAAGCCCTAAACAAGCCTCTTTCTCCAAGACACTGTTATATCATGCAGTCACGGCTATATTTATTAAGCTACTTTAACTATGTGCTGCCAAAAAAGAAAAGAGGACTCGAAACAACTAAAACACGTTTACTCGCCCTTAGTCCGCAACAATGTGTTTAACTCATTTTAAGCCAGGTGTCTCTCGTCTGCAAGTTCTAGAAACTTTAACAGACGGAGACCATGTGTCACAGACAATGGATTTATGTAGCCCCTTCAATTGATTTTACTGACCCAATTGTGCAGAATAAATGACCAAAACAAAGTATTATATCTTGACATATTTATTGTTTGCAAAGCTATACGAAGTTAAGCAAGCTATGAGTACTGGGGACACACAGCTGTCAAAGGAAGAAGCACTTTCAGGGCAAGATTGAATTGATTTAACTGAACTTGCATGGTTTTTTATGACTGCAACACTGCTTTACATAAAGTGTGGTTGACAGCCATACACTGTGCCCGAGTCAATGATTAACATTTTACTCTTGTATATGATATTATGTCGAAAAAAATTTGCTTGAATTCAATACCCTGAAACATTTGACAGCTTCGATAATTGATGCACTGTTTTTGTGATTTGATTTAATGTGATTCAATCTTGAACAATAGTTTATTGGCAATCCTTGTTAAAACTGCCTTAAATTTGTATGATAGAAGTATAATTTTAAGCGTTTAATATTTTGCAGATAAAGTAAACGCTTTGACTAAAACTGTACGAAGGTAAATAAATCGGAATGTATCCATATAAATTTGAAACATAATTATGATGTAATTACCTCTATATATGAGCTTTGCAACAGCCAGGAAAGAAATATTGTTCCCGTCATGTATATACATATATGAGTGAACATCAAAAATGTATTTATATATTGTTGCAGTGGTGAATTCAAAATTTTTTTAATGTATGGCTTCATAAACGTGTGAAATAGTTTTGTAGGATGGTTCTTAAACAAATATTAATTGGTTCAGAAACATTTTGGAGAATTTATATTGAAATTATTTATTGTAATTAAGGCCTATTTACAATGTGTTGGCTGTTGAATATCCTAATGTTGAGGTTGATATTGGAAAAGAGGTCACTAATAGGCGAATATATAAGAAACTTTGTTATACGGACAACTGATCTGCGGTTGAAATTCATACAAATAATTTATGTTTGAGAATGGTTATCTATTTGTCTGTATCAAACTAATTGAGACTATAATCTGTTCAAACGGATGCCCGTGTAATACTAAATGCTATAGAAATATGACTTTAGTGACATTTACTATTTAAGTAAACACCAGTGGGATTGTATATAGGAGTGGAATTTTTTTGTGATTATTGGTAGTGTTCAGGATAGATTTTTTCTTTTATCGCTCCGTATATGTCCACTAGTGGAGGGACAAAAAGGGAATGTCTATGTCCCTTGCCTCGTATGGGCTAAGCAGAGGTCACATCCAAATCAATTGTTATTTTACTTTTAATTTTCGTATTTTGTAATGAAAAATATATGTAATTTGTAAATTATGTATATACATACGTGTTTGCGGTAGATAGCCTTTTGATTTGGACGCCTGCTTTTTAAAACTTAATTATGTAATTCATATTGTTTTCGAGTCTATGGTAGATGCACTGTTCACAATCGCCCTTTCGCGCCTTAAGACTTTAATTTTTATATTACTTACACAATGGAAAGGAAACGATAGATAATTTATGCATATTTTGAATTGAAATTATTTCAACTATGGCCAATGTTTTTTTTATTTTCGTAATAAAAACGTTACGTCAAATCACGATTTATAATTAGATAATTCTTTACTACGAGAAAAAATAAGTTGATTTCAATAATGACTTATCGTTTTATGGACGGTGTAATCGAAAAAGTATCCTCCCGCCATTTTAGCTACGCCATATTGGGCCCGAATTTGTTACAGAAGTTTTCTAGTAACGCCATCTGACGTGACTAAATGTGACTAAATTGATATAAAATTTCGCTCCCGTGGTTTTACAACCGATTGTCTGCATCTAACCGGTTTAAAATCAGATTTTTACCTGTGATTATTTAATAATCGCCCAATATTAACACTTTATATTTTGTGGAATACTTAAACTTCTCGCTGTAAGTACAAATGGCCATTTTTCAATTTCCGGCTGGTGATGATAGTGTGAAGTTTTACATCTTACTTTAGTTTATTTCGTTGTAAGGGTGGTACTTAAAGGTAAACATTTATTGACGGTCTCTTTACAAACTCTTTTAAAAACCTTTATCCAACACGCTTGAATTTATTATTTAACCATACACAAAGATATTTATTCGTATTAAATAAAACTAAAAAACGTTTCAAATTTCACACACGCCCCCGATCTTAAACGATTTGGTCCGAGACTAATAATTAAAAGTAATACATTAAGTTAAAAATGCAAAAATCACAACTGAAAATTCTCCTCTATTAGCAACGCCATCTATTTGACCGAATTATAGTTACGTGCTGTCCGTTTGGAAAGTTCTCGTTTTGTTTTCTTTAAAAGTACTTATTTTCCTTGTGTATATAGCCAGATAGGGAGAGTCTATCGTTATATTTATGCTAAAACAATTGTTATAATACAATTTTTAATCTATACAAACAGTCATACGGATATTTTCCATCTAAGGGCATTCTTTTCACTGCATTATTTATATCCCCACTTAATTTGAACTTATTAATACATATTTATTTCTTAATATTAATTTCTCCGTAATACATTCTCAATAATAATTAACTGATTTCCTTTGGTCGGTCGAGGCATGAAAGTAATGAACCAAACTGATGTCGCTATCTTGTACGTCGATTTCCTGTTACGTATTTCACGTTATCCGGTAACTACTTTATGGCAAGCTTCCCCAAAGTGGTGTATTGGCCTCAATACATACGGTACGCGACCTGGAAAGGTTTTGTAATGACAACAAATTTATCAACAACAGGCTGTGGTATCACTCCTCCTAACTTGCTGAGTAGCCCCCATCCTATAAAAAAAGCAAAATTTATGGTACTACCTACGTGTATCGCAGCGAATGTTTGGAAGGTCCCATAAAGATTGAATAAATAAATAAAAATAAAAGAATTGGCAATGGATTTGTTCTTGTTGAGTTAGGTTTAAGTTTTAATCAAAACCGAGTTAATAGTGGCGTGTTAGAGCCGAGAGGTCAGCAACTGTCGATTTAGTCTTATATCTCGAGATATATAAGATTTCCGTAACTTTTTATTTTTTTCGTCTAATCAAAACAAACGTTAAAATCTAAAAATCCTACTGCAAAATGTTGTTCTTTATCGTACTTTACTTATGGACTGTCCTAGTATTTATAACTATTTGGTGTGAAAGTTTGCTTGGGGAGGTATTTTTAAATCGTTTTTATTTGAGGGTAGTCTTTTTATTAATCGAACTGAACTGATTTTCGAAAGTTGTCGACTCATTTATTTTTGAATCACCGCCTTCTCTGTGTATATATTAGCTTTCTTTTATAAATTAAATTTTAAGTTGCCCCTCTGTTTAGTTAAGGTCTTTTTTATATAATTTTTTTTAAAATTTACCCGCATTATTTAATACGCAATAGGCCGAACGGACACGTTTGTGTTCAACAGTGAAACATCCATAGTGTATACCCTAACGGTCAGATTGACCGAGCGAGGTAGTCTGTTGTTTGTACGAGATATTTATATTTTACCGTGGAACGGAGCGCGCTCCGGCTGCGAAGATGCCCGTCTCCTACCCTGGGTGTGGTGCGATGGATGTATGTTTGTCCCGTGTTAGTTCTACTTTTGTATTTGAATACGTGCACGACTAGTTCCTCCCTAGCGTAAGAGTGAGCTATACTAGGTTAAATCAATTACCTGTTACGCCTGTTCCTGTTCCTAAAAGTAACTGTGAGAAATACCCGTTACAAAATAACAGCCTGTTATTTCATACTGTGTTGTGACAATTTGTGTAACTGTTACCATATACCATAGAGTAACGTACTGTAACAGATGTTACAATATGTTTCTCTATGGTAAAGTCCGTATTTCCCTTCATATCAAAGCTGTTACACCGATGAAAAATAAACTGCATTGAACTGTTACATTTCATGTAACAACCGTGACAAGGTGTACCATTTTTATCTCTTTCTAACTAAGGTAACAGTCATGAATAAAGAAAAGCTTGTGACAGCGTGTTCAGGAGCAATCTGTGTGGAACAGGAACTGTTATTTAAGTTTGTTTATAACAGGTACAGTGTTATCTCGAGATCCCGGTTATATTTACCTGTTAAGATAAATACGCCTCACTCCTACTCTAGCGACGCGGCTCTTCGCAGACGGAGCGGTATCGATTGTGCTGTGCGAAATGTGGCGTAGTGTGCACGCAGCCCTATTTGGCGCCGTTGACAGGTGTCAAATGTGACAGTTGGCAGCTCGTTATCGCGCCCCGCGAGACCGCTTCCTCGGTTCGTTGTGTAATATAAAAAGTAATGTAAAGATGTGTACATACGAAGTTCTTTATTGAATAAATATATCTGTGTCTACTGAATCTATCCTGTGGTTTGATTTTCCCGTCGACGAATAAGTTTGCTTCTTGGACTAAACGATTTTAAAGGAAGTGTATTCTGTAGTTAACTAATGACGTAGAGACTAGAGACCTGCACAAAGAAATCGGTGCACAAATTCTGAGTAACGGAGAGTCTCATGCGTTGACCAAATATTAGAGTCTAAAGTGTCAAGTGTTCTGCTGAATGCCCCTTAATAATGTCATGTCCTTAATAGCGCGTTGAAATGAAACACAGTTCGGCGGGAAATAGTATTAAAAATTTATTGCATACATACATACATCAATTCAATTTCAATATGTGCCTTAAAACTAATACAATTCAAACCAATTACAGCTAACTATGTACAATAGATTTCTCGCCGCATATACACGGCGCGTACTAATTCAGCGACAAAAATAACGAAATGTGTATGAACGGTTGCGGACGACGTCATATAGCCTCCATACAGTGCGAATGGAATCCATAAGTAAGTGCTAGAGTTATGAACAATTGCACACAAATCATTTCAAAATGGAAACTGTTGTCCTGATCGTCGTATTCTCGCTAAATGCAGTTCAAAACAATAATTCAATAAGAAGGCACAGGCTAGGTACGTAACTTGGGTTTTTTTCAGAATTTTTTACATTCGAAGCCGATGCATCTATACTTATTGGTTTGTTATTTATGTGCAGGTTGTTTATCCTTTTCGATAGCGGCATAAATTCACAAGCGTCATACTCACGATATAGTTTTCTATTTTCTGTCATAGTTCTAGAACATAGTTTCCATTGCCTCAAAAACAAGCGTTCAAATTACTACGGGATTTGTTCCGAATAGTCAAGCTCGTATAAGCAAACGAATATGAGCAAATGACTTTCATTCGTGTTTCAGTACGCAAATTATCTTTAAATTTCATATAGATTACACATGTTAGATGACACGATCTGTCAAGCTTTCAAATGGCACCAGTGGCTGAGAAAATAAGGAGTGGTAGGTTGGTGTGGTATGGGCACATTATGAGAGGGGATGAAAGTCATGTGACTAGAAGAGTGATGAATACGAATGCCAACCGCATTGGAAGGTGTGGAAGAGGGTGCAAAGCTCGAGGAAGACCGAGAAAAGTTTGGATGGACTGTGTTAAGAATGTTATGTCTGTGAAAGGGGTCAGTATTAAGATGACGGCTGATAGAGGAAAGTAGATGGAGAGGACTTGTTTTGTCGACCCCACCTAATGGGGCAGGAGAAAGAAATCTGAAGAATGTGGGTGACGTCACATAACCTCCAGAAAGTGCGAATGGGATCCATAAGGTTCACTCGAGTTTCACGCAGCCTTGAGGATTTCTCATCGCAAATACACGCGTATTATATCAGTGAAAAGACGAAATGGTTATGTACGGGTGGGGATGACATTATACAACCTCCGTACAGTGCGAACAGGACCCAGAGTTCTAGAGCTAGATGTATTAACGATTGCGCATGACGTCATATAACCTCCGTACAGTGCTAATGGAATCCGTAAGCTAGAGCTAGAGGTGTTTGGGGATGACGTCAAATAACCTCTGTACAGTGCTAATGGGCTCCGTAAGGTGGACTGCGAGGGTCATTCAGCACATAAGATATCAGTGACAAGAGTTAGGAAATGGGTACGAACAATTGCGGAGGACGTCATACAACCTCCGCACAGTGCGAACGGGGCCCGTGAGGCGGGTTTAGAGGGCTCACGCCGCCTTGAGAGCGGCGTCGAGCTCGGCCAGCGTGGCGGTGGCGGCGCGCAGCTGCTCCGCCTGCTGGCGGCCGCTCTCCGTCAGCGCCGAGAGGCTCTGGCGGAGCGTGGCGAGACGCGCGCCGACGCGTTGCCGCTCCGCGCCCAGCATGCGCCGCGCCCCCTCGCCTGCGCCGAATAAATTATAATTATAAGCGCCGACGCGTTGCCGCTCCGCGCCCAGCATGCGCCGCGCCCCCTCGCCTGCGCCGAATAAATTATAATTATAAGCGCCGACGCGTTGCCGCTCCGCGCCCCCTCGTCTGCGCCAAATATATTATAATTAAATCAATTCGAACTTTAATATATTAATTCAATTTAATTCGACGATTTGAACTAAGTCAAAACCACGCTCGCAGACATTACAAATAAACCTACGTACCATTACCTAGCTTACAAAAACATAAATCATAATTCATAATCCTCTATGGAGACGTAGTCGAGGGCAACAGCTACTCTATTATAATTTTATTTTGCAGTGCTCGGATACAAAGTTAGACAGTATTACAAATATATTTTTTTTCTAAACCTTCATCTAAATCTACTTGAGGAATAGATTGTAAAAGCTGCTATTTTTAAATTGCACCTGGACGAAGTCAGGGCAAATCGCCAGTTAGATAGATAGATTTAGTTGTTGTTTTATCCTTTTATTATATTTATTTTGTAATGATTAAATAATTTGATTGAAATGAAATGATTTTTGGTCACATTTTCAATATTTCTTCTTACATATTCTTACTTTAGGTAATGTTAGGGTCACGGTCTGTGACCCTACCATACATTCGTGAACACTCTGTTGCACAAATGGGCAGGTCCATCGGGTTAGTACCATGACTTCAGAAAAGACCGACGTGAAGTAGATAAAAGGCAGAAAAGACCATACGAAGTGTCACACTTCGTATGGTCTAGTGAGGTGGCCGGGGCCTACTTTGTTAAAAGGTGGCAACGCATCTGGTACCCTATGGGTGTTGCAAATGTCCGTGGATAGTGGTTATTACTTTAGTTCAGGTGAACTGCTAGTTGCTTGCCCTTATCTCACATAAAAGTATATATTGTAATATTAAAAAGTATACAGCGTGTCGTTACCATCGCGACAATAAATGAACACACGTCTAACGCTACGTGCCAATAATCATAAAAAAATATTAACTTTAAACAAAATCCATAATTAAAAAAAAATATTTTTCAAACAAACTAATTAAGTAAAAAAGAAAAAAAAATTGTGACATCCTATACAACTCGTGCCACAGCGTCGTATTACAAGCCTCTCCTTCTAACAGTGTGTTTTGTCTCTTTTAAATTCATTCAACCCATTCATAGGCTTTGTGACCTTTACAAATGAACTTTACGTTACGCTTTTATAGGTGAGGGTGTTCTAAAATTCTTTGTTTTGGAAAATTTAATAACTCGGTAAATATTGATGTTTAAAGAATTTAAATGTTTAATACAACTTTAAAAAGTTATCCCCTATATGTGTTTTCATTTATTGTCACGATGGTAACGACACGCTGCATAAAGCCCAATTTGGGACCACTATACCATAAATTGATTAGTTTCAATAACTGCACTACGCTCTATCGCCATTGACTCACCTAAAAGGGGTAGGTAGTCACCAGCTCGCTCCGCCCTGATGTCCAGGGTGAACCACTCGTCCAGGTCTTCGGATTCTGAAGAAGGCATCTCCTGGAATACAGATTATGCATTACATAAGTTTCAACAAGTTAATACAAAACGAAATTATCGAAGTCAGCTACAGCACAGCCAAGTCACCGTTGAGTTTTGGGAAAATATAAGGTGAGAATAGAGAATACATTTATTTTAAAATTAACATTATTTCTTATTGAAAAAGGCAAAATTAAATATGTTATTTATACTAGTGAATCCTTTACAAAAGTCTGAACTGAGCAGAAACATTTCAGATGAATAGATAGATTTTTTCTTAGAATAGACTTTTTATTGTTTCATCCACAATGAACGAGTTCAGACTGACATTAGAATCAGACGGAATGTGCCACAAATGCAAGTCCGTATGCAGGCGAATGTTTAAGCCCTCACTAGGCATTAAACGGGGTATTTGATCAAATTTCGCTACCGCCCGGTTTCTGAAACACTGATCATCCATTTGACAGCTAATTAGTTGACTTCTAACTAATCAGCTGTCAAATGGATTTTCAAACGTTATTTGAGTTTGCTAAAAGGATTGTTAAACCCTCCGAGTTGATCAGAATGATCAATTCAAATTGTTTAACAATCCTTTTGGCAAACTCAAATATCATTTACTTATAACTTTACAGTGGTCGGGCCACGCAGCAGCCTCGGCTGTTGCACGAATGGGCAGGCCCGTCCGGGTAAGTACCACGACCTCACAGAAGACCGGCGTCAAGTGGAAGTATAACACTTTCGCGTTTCGTCTGGTGAGTGAGGTGGCCGGAGCCCAATTTTGGAAAGACGCCTGCAACCCTCGGGTGTAGCGGACGTCCATGGGTGGCGGTATTCACTTAACATCAGGTGAACCGCCTGCTCACTTGGCAACTTTTCACAAAAAAAAAAAAAAAACATTTGAAAATCCGATT